TTAGCTATTGGCCAGGTATTTAGTATTCCTAGCTGGATAACATAGTATTGACCATGTTTCCAGGAAGCCGTCTCCGTTGGTCTTGAGTATGGTATTAAGCCTGAAGACCGTGTCATTACTGCATACCGGTGTCACCCCTTCGCTGTTATGCGTGGTGGCACTATCAAGGGTGTTATTGCAGAGTTGCTTGGGCGCCAGGCCGGCATGTCTCACGGCAAGGGTGGCTCTATGCACATCTTCACTCCCTCGTTCTTCGGTGGTAATGGTATCGTCGGTGCCCAGGTTCCCGTAGGAGCTGGTATCGCGTTCGCACAAAAGTACCTGGGCAAGAACACGGCAACATTTGCCCTCTACGGTGATGGTGCAAGTAACCAAGGACAGGTGTTTGAGGCATTCAACATGGTATGAGTGTTTTAAGACATGAATAAACTCCGTCTGATCAATATACTTGCACATAGGCTAAACTTTGGGATCTCCCCGCTGTCTTTGTTTGCGAGAACAACAAGTACGGAATGGGTACCTCTGCCGAGCGCAGTTCATCCAACACCGAATACTTTACTCGTGGTGACAAGATTCCTGGTCTCCAGGTAAACACATTTTCTCTCATCCTTGCGGGGCTTAAATATTCACTTATCTTCGAATGTCTTCAGGTCAATGGCATGGACATCATCGCTTCCAGACACGCTGTGCAATACGCTCGCAAATGGGTAACGGAAGGCAACGGCCCACTCCTTATGGAGTTTGTCACTTACCGCTATGGCGGTCACTCAATGTCCGACCCCGGTACCACTTACCGTACCCGTGAGGAGGTTCAGCGTATGCGTAGCACCCAGGATCCCATCCGTGGTCTCCAGCGCTATATCGAGGAGTGGGGTCTTGCCACTGAGCAGGAGCTCAAGGTCCGTTGACATTCGTTTCTCATTGAATTATGTTAATCATCTTGTTCGCGTAGCAACTTGACAAGGACGCCAAGGCCGAGGTTGACCAGGCTGTCGAGGAAGCTAAGCAATCCCCTGAGCCATTGACCAAGGACCTCTGGACAGACATCTACTACAAGGGCACGGAACCATCATCCATGCGTGGTCGTGAGCGTGAGGAGGTGCACCACTACTGATTGGCGGGTTTCTTGTTAGTAATACATAAGACTTTATCACTTGCTACGTTCTACGTTAGGTATCTTCATTGATGGTCCTTCACCAACGAACGCGCTATATTTACACCATGAATGCTTTGATTTCGACGTACAAGTACAAGAAATTTCGTGGAATTGGTCCTTGCAAATGAATTCTGAGGTCTTTGCGTATGTGTGGTGACTTTGCCGAACTGAAACTGCATGTCCGTTCAAGCACGCTCGCCTGTACCTCCACCCAGTTCCTTGTCTGTTCCGTCTCGAAATGCAGGCACCCCAGCTTCTGCGTCGCAGACTCGGAATCCAATAACAATCCGCCTGCGCAAAATCTTGGGTACAAACTTTACCGATGAAGCAACAACAGAAGCGCTCCAGACGCTGTCAGAGCTGTATGGGACCCAGTCTACAGTGTCAGTATCAGACTCCAAAGCGCAGACAAACGGTACAGATTCAGACGATAATTGGAGTGATGAAGACGTAGACGTTGGGCTAGCCGTCCAGGACGACAGTGCATGCTTGAACGAGACCGCGTCGAGGGCACGCAAGAATCTTCGCCGAGATCTGGAGAACAAACTTGCACAAGGAAGCCAGCAATTTCTTCAAGCGTTTAGCGAAGTGGATCAAGTGTGTGATGATTGGACGTATCATTGAGAATCGTCTAATCAAGCTGTAGAAACTTGATGAGCTGCAGAATCACGTTGCTGCCATGCGCGTTGCCTGTGACGAAGCCGAGACGCAGCTGAGGCTATCAAGCGAAGCAAGCCAGTCTCTACTTGATCGCGCGGAGAGCTTGAGGAGTGAAAGGTATGATATTTGTGCCTTGAAAGGTATTTCTACTAACAGATAATACAGGGAGGAGGTTGAGACGCGCAAATCTATTGTCATGCTCTTCCTAAACCGCTTCACGCTAAGTGATGAAGAGGCCGAAGCTATAACCTCACGAGATGTTCCCATTGGCCCCCGCTTTTTTGAGGCAATGAACAAGACAGAGCGTATCCGTAATGACTGCAGAGTACTCATGTCAGGCGAAGACGGACCGACGAAAGCTGGGTAAGTAACATCCTGTAATCCCCAGTGATCTTATGTGACTAGCACTCTTGCAGACTGGACATCATGGTGTCCACTTCTTCCTACCTTGAACAAGGCTACGAGAAGATATATCGCTGGTGTTCCTTTCAATTCCGCCAGATGGGGCGTGACGCCCAGCTGGAAGTTGACTCGACTATGCAGCAAGCCATTTCTCGCCTCTCTCAGCGTCCAGAGTTACTCTCGTATGTGCCCGCTATTGGTAGATTTTTAACCTCTTCAATATCTGTCCACAGCGAAGCTCTTACTTTCCTGACACAGACCCGCCAAACAGGTCTGCTAAGCGCATTTCTGGATGCATTGACTCGAGGTGGCCCGTCAGGTCTTCCGCGTCCCATTGAATTGCATGCACATGATCCTATCAGATATGTTGGTGATATGCTTGCTTGGGTTCACCAGGCTATCGCCGCAGAATGTGAATTTCTGGAAAGCCTGTTTGGTCTTGGAGGGCAAAATGACGACAGCAAAGCAAGGAGAATGGTTGGTGCTGTACGGACATTCAAAGGAAGTGAAGAAGAGGGATGGGTGAAGGAATTGCTTAACTCTGCAGTAACAAAGTTGTGCGTGCCGCTCAAGGTCTGTCTGCCATTTGTCGTACAACAAACTGGATTTCATGCGTGTTCCTAGGTGCGCGTGCAGCAGACTGTACGTTCGCAAGAAAGTAGTATCGTCTCGTACAAAGTTGCAAATCTACTGCAATACTACATGCTTACGATGCGGCGCACTATCGGGGAGGATGCTCTTCTGTCGACGACTCTGAGCGAGTGAGTTGCTTCCTCTCGTCCACTTGGTACATACTTATTCTTCTTGGTAGAATCACAGATGTGAGTTACAAGGTCTTCTTCGACGCTATCGAAGCCCATGGTCGTGCACTCCTTAGAATTCCCTTGGTAAGTTATTTACAATGAGTTGTGTCATGTTATTCAAGCAATTATCAGGACTCAGACGACCCATCTTTGACCCCACCTCTCCCTATTCTAGAGCATGCCCAGCTGCTCCGTGAAATCATGCAGGTTTATGATTCCTCTCTTCTTGATGACACCACTGCAGAGCCCGGACAAACTTTTAACCGCATCCTAGATGTGATGCTCGATCCTGCTATGGAAATGTGTGCCGCTGCAGCAGAGGAGAAGGCGAGGTATCGCCCGCAGTGGGATCGGGCGGTGTTCGTGCTTAATTGTTGGTGTTACCTCCAGGTAGGTTCACACTCCTGTTCCACTCCTATCACAGCTAGCTAATTGAAGTAGAATGTGCTGGAGGCGTTCGAGTTCACTTCAGAGAAACGTCACACCATCCAAGAAAAAATCGACGAAAGGGTGAAGTCTTTGGAGGACGAGCATGTAGGTTTATTTCTTCATATTATGTCCAATTTTACTCAGCTGTCATACAGTACGAGAACATTCTAAGAGATGCCTCGTTATATGACACTGTCACCATTATCAAGTCCAAGACACCTTCCGTAAGTTCACTATCTTATTCACAACTCGTGCATGTCTAGACCCGATTACAGGACCCGCTGTCTCATGTGCTTCCTGCGCAGAAGCTGCAACCTACCCTTGCGAGATTCTCTCTTTGGCTCTCCAGTCCCGAGGTTGTGCATTCACCACGTCTATCAGCGTTAACATCTCCATCCCTGCATTCTACCATCCACCGCGTGTCTCTGGCTCGCGTGACAAAAGCCTACGCACAACTCTGCGAGGAAGTGAGGAAACCGGAGAATAGATATGAAGCAGCGAGTACCTTGTTAGGTATGGAGAGGCCGTTTGGACAGGCTGGAGTGTTGTGGGCCATTTTCGGGTTAGAAGAGGAGAGTGAGGAATCCGCGGCGGACTGAGCTAACTCACTTCAAGGTGATCCGCAGCGTTTGTTAACGGCATGTCTGTATTGAGTTAGATACATAAGATCGTGATCACAATCAGACGTCCTGCAGATCTACGATATAAGTACCCTTGTACTATTTCAAAAGAGTTTGAGGGTAGGCATTTTCCGCTGAACAGATACAATATATCACTGCAAGTAGGCACGTTTATTAGCACATCGCCGTCTCTCCGTCACTGGCAGGATCCCAGATCATATTCAAGAATAACCAATGGATACGTGCAGAGGGATAACATATCAAAAGAACTGGGGATCTCTTCAGGCCCACTGAATACGGCAGGACGTGCTTCCTGATCCCATCATCCTAGTAACTCCTCTAATAGGGCTGATACATGTAATAGGGCACACGGAGAAGTTACATACATGACTTTCCCAGATTCCACTCCGCAGCGAATAATCAAAGGCGGACTTATGTGACTTTCTTGTTCTATTTTTGACGGCCGCGACACGTCAGCGCGTCAGCGATGATTCACCTCTCCGGAGTGCATCGAACTTGACTGATCAAGCTCAAGTCCGAGTTGGAAGTAAGTCTGACTTGTGAAGGTATCATCGTTTCTTGATGTAGAGGGAGGGCGTACGTAAACACTCATGGTGACTATGAGGGGATTCTAGAGCCTAAATCATGACGCCCACATGAATGTCCTTTTACAGGCAGATTGTCTACGTACTGTGAGGTCATATTTGCACGGGAAACTAAATCTGATGCTGATAGCTACGGTTGAAAGGGGGTACGGATATCTATGAAACGGAGTATTGGGGTAGACTGCTTCTTTGCACGGTACAGGAAACCTCGTGTTAATGGATTAGGGATCAGCGGGAACAGAATAAGGAGAACTTTGAGTGATATGAATTGATAGTCACAATTGCATGCTGCGGAACGTAACAGAAATGTATAATAGATGTCATTGTTGCATGCGGTGCACCTACAAAAACACCATTCCGTGAGAGTTTTGATGATGGGAAGGGTAAACAAAGTAAACGTTTCCTGACAGTCCGTAGGCGCGAGCTCGAATGTTCTCGAGCTGCGGCTATTAAAGCATCTTCTAGATTGTGAAAAAAACCGCGTGATATCAGAGTTCGAGTCATGAACGTGTTGAACTCTAGTCAGAAGGTTACATGGTTCCAAAGCTAGCGATCGGAGAATAGATGGTACGAACCGCCTGGATAAATACTGAGGCAACAGGTGAATGGAAGTTCATTCAGTTGACACCCACAATGCTTCATACTAGTATCATGTTGATTTTCTCCGCTGCCGTCGCAGTCGCGGCAATCGTCGCCAAAGCTTTCACAACCCCAAAGACAAGGATACACAGCAGTGTCCGCGCCGTCAGGACATTACTGAGTCCTCCTGATGTCCCTACTCCCGCATTATTACGCGCAAGATCCATACCAAACCAGCGTTTGGTGAAGGCGCTCGGTATATCGAGCACCTTTGTCAGCGACGATACCGGCGTCCATGACAACTTCACTCGCGAAGCGAAAGTCCTAATAGGCGCCGTCAGCGCGAAAGATGGATGGTCGAGGCTCGTTGACGTCGCTGAAATCTGCGTGAACAGATTCCTTGACGTAAAGAGCCTCGACTACGCCACCTTCGTGCAGTCTGTCACGCTCAGTGTCGTATTGGCAGGTCTGCTGGGCACAGATATCGAAGATCTTGACCCCGTGGACGTGGCATTTGTGACAAAGGCCATCAACGACCGTTGGGCACAATCCAAATCGAGCACTACTCTCACTACAGAAGTGCTCGATCGCATCAACCATCACATCATCAGATGGGTTCCAGACCGAACCAATCCTCTCAATCTCATCATCCCCGCATATGAAACAATGTGGCGCGTAGCAGCAATTGCGGTGGTATATTCTAACCGCGATAGTCTGCTACGCGATGCATTTATCTCATACAACGAGAACCCCACTGACGATCAGTTCCGCGCCTTCGCAAACGAAGAGACAGGAGCGCAGCCTAGTGCAGAGGCAATCATCTGTGAGGTTCTCCGACTCTACCCCCCGACTCGTCACATCACTCGTGCCGTGGTCGTCCCATGGTGGAAGCGACCGTTCGTCCCATCCATAGATGTAGCAGACATCGAAGAGGCACACAAATCGCCTCTCTTCGGAAGTGATCCAGAATCCTTCAATCCTATGCGGTTTCACTCGAGCCATGCCGCTCCTAAAAGGGACCAGCTGTATGCCTTTGGGCACGGAAAGCTGAAGTGCGTAGCGGCAAGCTGGGCACCGCCAGCTGCCGCTGTCATCACCGCGAAAATCATGGCCAAATTGGATGGCGTTGCGTTCAAGTTGCAGGAAGGACCATGCATTGGGAAAAGGGAAGGATGGGAGGGTTGGTCGGTCCAAAGAGTATAACGAACGTCATGTGATACATATTGGACTCGTCAGCTATTGCTTGTACTGTAAGCTAGTCACGTATGTTTTAACCGGAGGTCATGAGATATATGCTATTCGATTTGTCAGATCAATGTGGTCCATAAGGAGATACTCAACGTTGACGTGAAAGCGATGCTCATTTGCAGTGTTATGTCTGTCTTTGTAAAACATTACAGACGTACATAGCCTTCATGTCAAATACAATCCAAGCGATACTTGTCAAGTTGTGAAAGGACGTAGGCCTTCATTGGACGTTTCGTCTCACCAACCGACACTTGCCATGTGGAAGTCCATAAAGATCGGAGTTTCAAAAATGTCGGCTTTGGCCGCTTCAGCCACCGACCCAAGGAAGATGCGGAAAATTTGATCAGTTCGCAGAAGTCAATCGATTACGCTCACCGGACACAACCCACTACATTCCAAGCATAATCGACTACAGTAGTCGAGCCTTGGATACAAAAAATAGACTATACTCATGTCAGCGTAAGCAATCCGTCCTACTGCCGATGCAATTTTGTGTGTTTACTAATATATCGCTCGTGTGGGTTTAGAGAAGAAGCGCTCCAGGATGTTGCAGAGAATGAGATCGAGTCCAACTGGGACCAGGTCGTAGATAAGTGCGTCAAACGGATGCTGCGATCTTGCAGAATCAAATTCTGATGCGGTGTCAAATAGCTTCGACAACATGGATTTGAAGGCTGAGCTTCTCCGTGGTGTCTACGCTTACGGGTAGGTGCATTCAGCCTTTGATCATTGTTATATCGTCAATATTTCGTAGTTTTGAGAGGCCCTCCGCGATTCAGCAGCGTGCTATCGTCCCCGTTGTAAAGGGTCACGACGTCATTGCTCAAGCACAATCTGGAACCGGCAAGACCGCCACGTTCTCCATCTCCATTCTTCAGCAGTTGGATATGTCCATCAAAGGATGCCAAGCCCTTATTTTAGCGCCCACCCGCGAGCTGGCTCAACAGATCCAGAAAGTTGTTATTGCGCTCGGTGACTACATGAACATCGAATGTCATGCATGTGTTGGAGGTACAAATGTTCGTGAGGACATGGCCAAGCTCCAGGAAGGTGTGCAAGTCGTTGTCGGCACTCCCGGACGTGTATATGACATGATCAACCGGAGAGCTCTCCGCACTGACACCATCAAGATTTTCTGTCTCGACGAGGCTGATGAGATGTTGTCCCGTGGGTTCAAGGACCAAATCTACGAGCTGTTCCAGCTTCTACCGCAGGAGACTCAAGTAGTACTCCTTTCCGCCACCATGCCCGCCGACGTTTTGGAAGTGACGAAGAAGTTCATGCGTGACCCTGTTCGGATTCTCGTCAAAAGGGATGAATTGACGCTCGAGGGTATCAAGCAATTTTACATCGCTGTGGAGAAGGAGGAATGGAAGTTGGACACTCTTTGCGATCTTTACGAGACTGTAACGATCACGCAAGCCGTCATCTTCTGCAACACAAGGCGGAAGGTCGACTGGTTGACGGAGAAGATGCACTCGCGTGAGTTCACAGTATCTGCTATGGTCAGTAATTGCGGTAGTATCTCAGTTAGGTCCCATCTGATCGCATCTTTTGCCCAGCACGGAGACATGGAGCAGAAGCAGCGTGAAGTTTTGATGAAGGAGTTCCGGTCAGGTTCATCTCGTGTCCTGATCACGACAGATCTCTTGGCCCGTGGGATCGACGTGCAACAGGTCTCTCTAGTTATCAACTATGACCTGCCGACAAACAGAGAGAACTACATTCACCGCATTGGTCGTGGCGGACGTTTTGGCCGTAAAGGTGTTGCCATCAACTTTGTGACAACAGAAGATGTCAGAATGCTGAGGGATATTGAACGTGAGCGCATTTTGCTACTGCATGATTAATGCTAAGACTACGGGCAGAATTCTACAACACTCAAATTGACGAGATGCCTCTTAATGTCGCGTGAGTTTCTTACTACGGGATTGATTGGGTCTGGGCTCTGACAAGTGTTTTTCCAGCGACCTCATTTAGATTGCCTTCTGTTTTATAGGCCAGGCTGTTACGATGCTGCTCCGAAATTGTTACGTCCATTCTATGATCGCGAAATTTTTTTGACAGTATGCCATGTAAAATGTTTTGGGTCTGCCAAGCTTATGTTTCAATTTTTTTCCTACTTCTCCTTTTTCGCATTGTGTGTTAGCTGCATACATATCTTACCTGTTTGTGGAAATCTTTCTACACGTTGCACTGCACTTGGGCCCCAGATACGGCTTTCCTGAGGGACAATAGCCGGGGACAAGATCCATTGGTTCGGAGCAGTACTGTGGTGTCATGCATAGCCCCGCTTGTTTAGTCGTCCCTGAACCTGCCAGTGTGGATAAAAATTCCATTTGATGATCGAGGTCGCGCAAGGCTGTTCATTATATCTCTCACAGTGTACAGACTTTGTCCTACTTTAGTCCAACCAAAAGCTCTGCTTCCCCTTATCGAAATCACTAAGCCTGAGTCTGACCAACCCCGCCCAAGAGCCGTGCCTTCCCGACGTCCGCTGAGGACGCCGTTCTATCCTGGTATCGGCTCAGGATCGGGCAAATCTCTAACAGTTACGCAAGGCTGTTTGTCTGCTAATTTCTTACCTACTACGTTCATAAAGAGGCCATCGATCTCGGTCGGCTAATCTAGTAAGGGTCTCTGCCCCGTGGTACTATTCTCGCACCAATACTACTCCTCTTACCCGAACCACTTTCTTCCTTCAATTTAACAAATTCTAAACTTGTACACTCTCTGCTGCGCTTGTCAAAGTTGTCATGGTGAGTCGTGTTTTAAACAGTCCTTCCTACATTTGAGTACATCCACACTTGCTGGTTGCGTCCCACCTTCGCTTGCTTCCCATTATGCTTATATATATTCTAGCACCTGGAGAGGCTCACACTGTCATCACTTAACGGCAGTCACCCTTCTAACATGTCCAACTGGTCACCATCACCCATGTCCCAAATCCCTTACCAGCTCCGAACTCCTGGTGCATCAGAAATATTACCAAGACTATATGTCTCAGACCTCTCCTTCGCAGAGAACCCTGCCGCCCTCGCCACGCTGGGTATAACCCACATCCTCTCCGCAATGCGTGGATACGTCGCAATACCACATGATCTACCCATACATCGTGCTCAATACCCTCTCGAGGATCTTCCATTCTCCGAGCTCGCCGCCCACCTTCCATCTGCAACTGCCTTCATCCGCAGCGCACTGCACGATCCCAATGCACGGATTCTTGTGCACTGCATGGAGGGAGTGAGCCGCAGCACAAGCGTGGTTTGTGCATTTCTCATATCGGAGTACGGCTGGACTCCAGCACAAGCTATCCAATACATCAAAACGAGACGAAGATCTGCCGAACCCAATTTTGGATTTGTACAGCAGCTGCAGGAGTATGCAGACAACTTGCGGCGTTGATCATGATAGTTGCAGAGGGCAGGAAATATGGACACATGTGCTTCCGACGGCCATCAGAGGCGTGTTAGAAGATTATTTGACAAAGCTTGCATCACTCCCTTGCATTTACACATACGCAAAAGTTCTGTATCATCTGTATGCCCAGGACCCCCTAGCGCAGGATTTCATTGAACATTTCAGATACAGTACGAGTCTCATAATTCTGCGCATCTTCGGCAATACAGAGTAATAACTATAGTCCCATAACCACAGTAGAGTAGAGTACAGCAACTTTATGTATAATGTTGCATATAATATATGTCATCACGAACAGCATCCCTGTTTATTTGAGGCTCCATTCAGGGCCACGCTTCCATTTGTTGGCTTTGACAGCTTCACTCCTGGAGACTAATAGACCAACATGATGTCAGAGATGGAAGATGTCAATTGGTTGTCGACTTGAAATAACACTCACTCGATCATCATCAAAAACGCCATGCTTGATCTTATGGAGAATATCGCGCGATGCTGTCTCAAATGCCGTATCAACGTTGCTCCCTGATTTTGCGCTTGCTTCCAAGAATAGCAACCCCTCCTTTCTCGCCCATTCGTTCGCTTCATCCGTTGAAACTTCTCTTCGTCGACTCGATGAGTCTTCTCCTTCCTCATCGCATAGATCAATTTTATTTCCGACCAGTATGCAAGTTAAATGAGGGTCAGCATGCTCTCGTACGTCTGCAAGCCATGACTGCGCGTTAGTAAAACCTGTGTAAGATGATTAGTAGACGACCGGGGATGAATCGGTCATACTGGACGCACTTTTGCGGGATGTCACGTCATAGACTAATAAACAGCCCGCGGCACCACGGTAGTATGACCGTGTAATCGACCTGAAGGACTCGGTTCCAGCAGTATCCCAACCTACATAATAACCCACTACATGAAATACGTGTCAGGGGAAACCGGGAAAGGAGACGGACATTGAAGCTTGACAATCTTCCCTTCTTCGGGTATCTCAATTAGCTTGGAGCCAAATTCTACTCCTAGCTAGGGGTAACGGGTGTTTGTGTCAGATTCAACCTATCAGGCATGTGAAAAGCCACGCACAGTTGGGTCGGGGTTTGCAAGAAAACGCTGGTCTGTCAAGCGAACGAGTAAAGATGACTTGCCAACGCCAGCATCGCCTTGTGAATGCGGTTATTGAGCAATCAACCCTTTACCGGAATGCAAGCGTGACACACCTGTAATGATAAATTTCAGGACATAGTGCCAAGTAATTCCTGTCATTAGGGCTCTATGTTTCGTGTTCTTTGGGATAGTCTAGAAAAACAAGTACAACAATTAGGGAACCAAGCAAAGGGTGAGAGTGGACGTATGAGCAACGGCCCCCCATAGTTCCAAATGAATAACCACATTAGGCAATCCATGATGAACGGACATTTCCGGAAGCTCTCAGCGTTTGACTGCACCAGAATTTCGCGAACAGTATTCTTCAACTTCAACGTCCTCCACAATGAGCAGTGCAACTTGGCGAAACTTTTTCACGTTCGTATTCAGTAGACTCTGTCTATCTCCATTCATTGACACGTCTCTAAAGGTACAACAAATATGCCCAAATCACCGCACGGGCTGTTCGACAGTCGTTGAAAGAGTCTGAGCGTGTCGTGGCTGAGAAGAGAGGTACGACCGCTCTAAAATACCAACAATGGGAAAATGGTGTTGGTGGACCGCAGGTGCGCTCTTCATACGTGTTCAATCTTGACCGGCGCATCTCTGATGATGTATTGTTCCACACAGGTACTCCTGAACTCCGAGGAGGGCAAGAAATAGAGAAAAGCGCTGCGGTCTAGTTGAACGTCGGCATTTTGCTTGACTAGCGACGGAATGCCTTGATTCCCAATGTGATTATATATCCGAAATAGATTTGCAGGAGGTCTCCCCCGTGGTGTCCGATCAGTGACCGGTTTGCCTATCCCGAGAAGAGGTTTTTTTTTCAATGAACGTTGATGCGTGTTACGCCGGGTCTCTTGTGCTGTCTGTATTCCTTGGCTCGCAAGCCGCTCCATCGTTGGTGGCTGGGGGTTTTACCACCACATGGCTTACTCCGACGTTTTACGTCCCTGCCTCATACAATGGGCCGCGGGAGGTGATTATGGAATGCATAACAACAACCAGAGTGCGCAGGTCTGTCTTATCATGCGGACTTCAATTTGAAACGATTTCACAAGACGGCGAGTGTGAAAATTCATTATCTCCGACGCAGATTCAGAACCCGCTAAGCAATGCTTGTTTGTCCGTGTCACTGGTGTATCATCGGATCCATCTGGAGCCCACTGCCGCTGCAGTCCATCAGGTTGCGGGCACCGATTTTTGGGTGCGAGATGGTATTTTACTGTTGTGTCTAAGGGTTGTTTCAGCTTCGCTCATCGGTCCCGCAATATATCCCTAAATGCAACAAGTGTCACACTTGAAATATCTCGTTACTAGTCTCCATCACATCATACGTTCCAAGGATGAAGTTTTACAGCCCCAGTGTAATATAACATTCAACAAAGAAGGTTCAGCAGTGCCCACATGAATCATTGGTAGTGATTGGATACGTTTGCAGGCGCAAACTCTTGCTATGGTGCGTGCATTGTTTGGCTAGTGCTATGGTCATACTGAGGTGACACCTCAGATCGGAACCACCCGTCGGGGAAGCACTCATTGAGACTCACAGTTCGAGCGAGGTCTCGGGTCGGAGTTGGCAGTGGTACCCCTGTGCCTTGCCCGCCTACGGAAGGACTATAAAATAATCTATCATTCATTCTTTGATTGCCTTTGAGCATCATGACATCGAGATGATCTGACCGTGCACTGCACGACTAGTAATGTTACAATTGCCAAGCGGAGGCTGGTGCCATGGATGCATTAGACCTGTTGGCTAGGTGCCTTGAAGAACTTTGTCGGTTGCTCGCTACCCGTCGGTCCGCTTGCATTTTTTGTGGCTTGCATTCGACACGCCTCTCACTGCCTTTCAACCCTTGTTTCGTAGTGCATGGTGATGTCATTGAGTGGCTATAGTGCTGAATGTCGGGTGGCGTAGAATGATGTGCTCCGAGCAGATTGAACCGCGGAAATTCATATGGCTTGCCTGTCTACCCGTTTACCCAGCCTAGCTTTGCCGCACTTGTCGTCGTTCATTAGCTTTGGTTATTTTCTACGTATTGATCTATAAACCCAAGGTTACCATGCTAAGCGCCGCAAACAATGCCTTTCTTGATGTCTGCACAACTTAAATAGCATTGCCGCATTGATCGCACACCAAAATGGATTCCAACAGATGCAGTTTTGCAATTGCAGAAGTAAAGAAAAGGAAGGTAGACTCTACGGTATAATGTAAGTCTTTTCTCTTCATAGCAGACACACAGAACAATGTCCATAGTGCGCGCATAAGCAGTAGAAAAGTAAACCCAAAGTGCATTTATTTCGACACCACGTAGCCCTTTCCAGAGTACCCTTCCGATGATATGCCTGTACGGCGAGCAGGATATTAGCACGACGAAAACACACATCCAGACGGAGAGACAGACCGGTGATAGGGTTCGACTTTTGCTCGAGTGCACGTTGATTGCTTGCTTCCTCCCATTCGCGTGTAATCGTTTTCGGTGGAGGTGGAGCTAAGGTCCAGGAGTACATGTATTAGAGATCAAGCATACAAGAAAAACGAGAAAAAACCTACACTGTGAACGGATAGCCAAGGTGAGCAATCCAGCGACACCTACAAGGCCCATGGTGCCAAGGAAAACCTTAAAGCCCTGGCCAGGTGGGCTGACAGGAGCTCGGGGACCATGCGGGCCAAAGGCAACATAGTATGCTATTGATGCACATTACGCCAAAAAGAATAGTGTTTCATCGACCCCAACGTCACGATAATGCGCGATTTAGTATAAAATAATAGGCCAAAAGGACATCAGAAGACCCGTCAACGGGAGCAGCCGAAGAGCGGAAGGACAACAACACGCACCAGCTTTTTTCTCGTCCAAAGAGAGCGTCTTCCAGTCCTTCTTCTGCAACTCCTCGAGCTGCCTGTGGACAACTGTCTGCTCGCCCTTAGACATATTTTCCCATTGTGCCTCAACGTTAGAGAGAGGAATAACAGACGCGGTCACAGACGAGGGTCCGGACGTGGGCACCTGAGCGATGGTAGCCAGACGGCGTAAGGAGACTCTAGGGCGCACCAGGCGAATGGCTTGCATGGAGGACAATGAAAGCGAGTGTCGGTAGACGGAGGAGAGAGTTAGTGGAAATTAGCGAATAACAGGTCGTGGAAAAAATAAGCTCGGCTGAGCAGCACACAATCGGCGTGAACCGGGTTAGCAGTATACACCCTGCAAACCTCCTGAAAAGTACTGACATGCATGAACTGGTACAATGATATTAATGGTGTGCTTCAAATAACTGCCAGTATTCTGCAAACATATACGCGAACGGAGTACGTAGTAACTGATCCAAACACTTCAACAGCAAACCAGAAAGAGATCGACATTAAGCAGCTAGGAATACATGGATATCGCATCACTCAAGCACCCTCAGCGGCCGTACCGGAACAATCACGAGAAATGTGGCTAAGATGTGGATTAACAAGAGGAACATGAGGACATCTGGACATGCTCACCCTTCTGAACCACACGTGTAGCAGGCGCGCCTCTGAGGTTGAGGGCAGTCACGGCTGATGTGGCCCTAAATCGGCGGATGTGAACCAAAGAACCATTTATATGCAGAGCAACGTACCACGCCCGAGCAGTTATAGCACTTAGAGCCCTGAACGCAGTCGCGTGACAGATGACCTACACCACCGCAGGTATAGCTGTGTATGGCGAATTAGTACAATGTAAGATGGACATAATAGAGACAAACCAAGTCTTCGAGCCTCCGCCACCAAAAGCAGAATAATTGCCTCCGCCTCCGCCTCCGCCTCCGTAGCTAGAGTTGCCTCCTGCGGCCTCAGGACATGCGCGCGCAATGTGGCCGGGTTTGCCGCAGCGGTAGCACTCCTGGCTGGAAAATCCCCCACCATAGCTGCCGCCGCCGCCGCCTGCACCGGCGTCAGGGCAATCGCGAGACTGAATCCAATGAGTAAAAAGATTGACCAACATCCTCAGAAAACATACAATGTGACCCTCTTGACCACATTTGTAGCAAGACTTGGCCTTGACTTCCATCGTGCAATCACGAGAAACATGACCCTCCAAGCCACCTGCAGAAATCATGAACACCGTGTAAGAGTGGACTCAACAATGAAAATAACATACAGTTATAGCTAAACAAGGTGAGTGGATATGAGACGAAGCACGGCATAAACAAGATCAATAATTACCAAGTGGGAGTCCCTGCTTTGGGGCAGTTAGCAGCTTGATGGCCGACTGTCTTCATGAAGATCGGAGGTACGGAACCAAGCGAGGCAGATAATTGGGACGAGCAATGCAATATATTGCGATTTTGTGCGAGTCGTCGATGATAACATGTGTCATCGGTAGATATGAGCAAAAGAACATAGCGATCCACGTCAGCACCGAGAAAATCGACAATGTAAATAAGAACGAAAGGAAAGCAATGGCTACAGGCCTTTCCTTCGCCATATCGACGAGGGAATGTTGAAAAGCCAGGGAACAAACAACACGGAAACACCACGCACAGCCTCCACAGTTGAAACATCCACGAGCGCCAGACATGTCGTATAAAAAATCTGTCAAGGAAAAATCAATGTTAGGGGTCCGTGCACGATTGACGCAGCCGTTGATGGTCTCGACGCGACAAGCATGTTGGACAAGGTATACATCCAAGACAAGATCCGACGTACTTTTCTTCGAAAGGTTACGGAGTAAAGAGGAGGAGGACACAAAAAAATGCCTCAAGGTAGTGAATGAAAAAAGAAAAGCGCTTCCATAATCACAAACGGCACTTCATCGGGCACGTGCTCATCACATGTTCGACCATTTAGGGAAAACTAAATGTGCTTCTGCACAGCAATATGGAGTCGTGCCGGTGATAGTAATGATAGAACATTTGGCGACTGAATTATAGTCCCTTGTCTGCGTCCTTCTTACTCGAGTCCTTTCCCTTTTCTGCATCCTTCTTGGCATCTTCCGACTTTTTAGAGTCGCCGTTGACCGTCTTTTTGTCCTTGTCTTTCTCATCTATGCCTTCTTCTTGCTCTGCTCGCCCTATCGTGGCCTTGTTGTCCACCAGAGCATGTAACGCGATGACAGCACGTAGAAGACTACTCAGATACACCACGAGTAGTTGATCATTTGTGCTCGATGCGAAGCTCTGTGTTGTCACCGGATTGCTCAGGTCAGGAAGTAGGTTGAGTGCATCTTGCAGGTGATAAATAATTTGGTGATTGACTGGCATCGTACCAGCTGCAACATCTAGCAGATACTTGTGCACATCTCGTAGTCGGGATTGAAGACCTTGAAGTGATGCGAGTTGCTCAGAAACGCGTGTTGAGAGGGTGGTGGTGGTTGAGTCTTTGATATCGCGTAGGAGATGTTCGACACCGATCTCCTCAGCTTCCTCAGCCTCAATTGCAGAAGGGACGTGAAGGAATGTCTTCCGTGTTTCTGTGCCATCCTGAAGCCATAAAATCGGTACGAGCATAGATAGCAAAGGAGGGAAGGCATACGTCTTTGATCTCTTCTACTGCAAAATACGCATCCGTCGGGATTCCGACGGCCTGCGGTCGTACATCAACGATAACCATCACTGGTTTCGCGATGTACCGCTTAAAAAGATCATTAATTTCCTGGTCCGAAGCTCGTAGTTTTGGCCCCGTGTGGTACCACCCGATCATCCGCTCCTTTGCTGTAATTTCACATAGCATCTATGATGGTTGCTCAGGTAAAGAGGAACGTACCATTGACTTTCTTGAACATATCGTACATCCCCTCAATATAGTTATGGTCTAGGAACCACGTCTTGCTATCTCTTTCATCCTCCTCGAACGGGATTCCAAATGAATTGGCAACGTTAACGGTCTTGCCGTTGTCCTGGCCCAAAAGAACGCCGACAACACGCTTTGATGAGGTGCGCGAAACAGTGCGCGCATGGTGATCAGTAACAGAGAGTAGGACCAATGGGTGAACGACTGGAGGTGTTAAGTATATGCGGGGGGTTTTCGAACGAGCGGTTGCTCACCAACTGTCGTTCCAGCAAGTGCTGTTAACTGTAAATTAAATAAGTATCACAATATTCAGCGTGTTAAACATTACGACTCACCTGCTCACTTGTTGATGCCACCATGATCTAAAGTGCTAAAGCTAAAGGCCTTCATGACCGCGTGCACTGTACGGACGCGCGTTGTGTTGACATATATTTGTGCGGAATCTCATTAGGGCAGTTGCTGTGAGGCACTTTTATTATCCTACTTACCCGTTCTGCCAATGAATTGACTTACTGATTCTGTTGAAGATGGATTTTAATCAGGATCACTTTCCGAACGTTGCCAGAATTTATGTGTAACTTTTATCCAAACACTGGCAGTACCTGTTCTACGAACGACCCTGGGAAGGCATCAAACCATTGCTGTGCGTGCTCACGGGACATACTACATACCGTCTGACCAAGATGTGACTCCTCGTCCCTTAAAAACTGTTCTACCCTAGTGTATAACCAGTTGCTGCCACATTCTATAGATGGATTCTCTCCCAATGCGATCGTATGGTGGAAGGCGGAAACTTTACTACCATATCCAGGTTTCTGGCAAGTAAATCGCAACGATACACTCTACAGGATGCTCACCGTGCCACTTAGATATCAGCGTTTCCATAGAACCAGACGATCCAGAATTCCCGCCTGGGCCTTATAAATGCTACGTGGAGGTCGGCGTCGACACTGTTCGCAAGCGAACCCAAGTCTCCACCCCCGGAAAGTACGCCTGGAATGAGTCATTTGAATTGTAAGTGACATTACCTATCGTGTGGATGATCATAGTTCAACAGACCCCTCTTCAATAGCTTAGTGAGGGAGGATTGGTCTATATGCATTAACGTGATAGCAAAACATACATTGTTATCGTGCGGCATGCTGAGTTGGCTGTGCAAGGACGTGCCGATTGCATCATCTCGTGACCATGTGCAGTTACCTACATCAACAGAAACAAAAGGTCCTGCGGCTCTTATAAGTCATCATAAACATTTACTCACAGTTTTTCAGTCGTCTCACAAAATTTGAGACATGTGCACGTACGAGGGCGGGATGGAGAACCTTCCACATACCAGGCTAGCGTGTCATTGAAACTTCAGTTGGTAAACCCAGATCCCATCACTGACCCATCATCTTCGGTTCATCCCGAAGAGTCATTTATCGAGGACGTCGGTGAGCTCATTGCAGCACCAAATCTCTCCAATACAGAGCTTGGAGCATTCAGCGAGGTCTGATCTTCTGTCTTCTTAACGAACATGTATGTTAAATATGCCCAAGGTGCTTCGACGTCCCACCCTCGGTTTTGGCTGCTATTCTTTTTCAGATTGGTCATCTTTTGTAGTCTCGCTTCACAGTTGTGAAGATGATAGCCTTTCCTCCCCCAACTCCCCACACGCCGATCACGATGAAGTATTAGTGTCTCCTATTTCCGATTTGCCTCAAGGCGATCGTTTTCCTCCGAGCCCTAGAGAGCTGGATGACGCGGAACAAACTTCTGTCTTAGAAGCGACTCTTACAGATCACACACAGAAGGGCGATGTCAACGGCGAGGAACTGCCTATAATAGACCAATCGTCGCCTGCCGACACAGTATATTCAGGAACTTCTGTGGCGAACGTCAGTTTGTTTACATGGAGATTTTGAAGCCTTGCCGAACTGACATTTTTGACATGCAGGATACTGGACCTCAAAAAAGACACAAATCATCTATGAAGGCATTGAGCATTCGCTCCAATCGTAGTGCATCGTTGAGCGGGACGCGAAATCGCCATGCACTTTGGGGACGAATCAGATCACTATTCAGCTTGCGCACACGCCAGAACGCCGAACGCATCCGACCTATACTTTTGCATTCAAGTCAGAAATAAATCACAGTTCCACATCCTCGATATATCTCTTTCATTCTGAACAACCACCTTGTCAATGGGAGACGGTCGCCAATGGTGTACGACTTACGGGCCGATTTCTCAAAGATTCTTCGCAAGGTATTCTTGGATACCATCCACAATGACACTATGGTCGTCTTCCTGTGCGAGACCACTAACCACTATCACTCCCACGACCCCCTCTACGCCCTCTACCTTCACCGGAAAACCTCCGCCGTGCACCGCATATATACTCGGGTCGCTCATCTCATATACTTCTTGGAGTGTCTTTGTTTTGGTCTGCAGCGATAATCTCATGCGCATCGTTGAGCATCCCTAACGGAGCACCACTGCCTCCTTGCGCTTCACCCAGTGCATATTGTCGGGAAGTGTACCAGGTCCTGAGGTGGCGAAGAAGAGGAGCTGGGATGAGTTCGCGTGGGCGATATAGATGACGACGGGGCGCGTAAACTTTTTTTGGACATTAGCACGGATGATGTGCCCGATCTCCCAGGCGACATCACTGTCGAACGAGCGGAGGCGGCATGCTTCTTCTTGGGTAGTGACTGATTCAACCTTGAATGTCTCAACTGTGATGTTCATATTAATGTGATGTGTTTACAACTCACCGTGAGCGACATGGTAGCGGACAACTTGAGTTCAGACTGTTGGGAAATATCAGAAGAGGTCAGGAGTCTCTTATACAAACTCAAGGATTATTTGACGTGTTCCACGCAAATTTATGTATGCTGCAATTGGCTCACTGGAAAAACAGATAGAGCCAGCAGATGAACTTTGGATGTCAGGAGGGCTCGCCTACGGTCCGCACTTCCGAGCAGGGAATAATCGCACCGATTCTAAAATCAACTTACTCTTGAACAAGTGACTCGTAGGAGATGGGTTTCGTGTCAAGCCGTATCCTCATTTCATGCTCGGAAAGTAGCATAGGCATCCGGAATATTTGCCGTATATGACCTTGCAGGAGAAAGGGATCTTTGCGTAGTGCTTCTGCCGTCTGAAGATTATCAACACCAGGTATCAGTTAACTCAGGTGACACCAGCGGTGGCAAAGATGTGGTATAAACCACCTCTTTCTGCCTGCCTCCATATGCTTTCGTCGTGCCTTCACTACCGGGTAATCACCTTCCATAGCCTGCAGGAATTGAGGTTTCCATCTCTTCTTTACTATATTCTTTGATGGAACGGTCTCGATTGATCCACGGGTTTCCGCAGAAAAAATGATTGAGCGTCGAGGTGTTACTCGACCATCAAGGAAGTTGATGATTTGATACGTGCATCGGACGGCTCAGGACAGGACGCAACGCCGTGTGGCACATGAGAGATCTAGACACTCATGATATGCACAATCGGGTAATATACACATGACAGTATGGCCACATGCTGTCTAGATGGGAGTGCGGCAGTAATGGCCGCGCGATGAAACTGGCAAGAAAGGACGTGAATAGTAGCTGTGCGTATCCAAGACATCTGAATGATAACAAGTCTCCGGTCATCACCGGGAGGACGACATTAGATACTAGTTTCAAATAAAAAATCTAGAAACTATATGGCGCAATTCGTCTGATGCACTTTGGCTTTGGCTCCTTCCAGTCATCATCTTGCGGACTCGCTAGTTGCATGAAGAGCCTGTGCCTGAGAGGTAGGTTGTCTGTATTGATAATATCACTGTTCTCATATTGTCCATGATAGGGAGGATGGTGTGGCCTCTGACCCCTTGGCACGTTGATGGGCCAGGAAGGAAGGTAACACATTTCCTAAGGAAGGCGTAAGATGTATATAAGCAGCACATAATATTAAGACATTACCTCAGGCCCACAAGCTGGGCGACACTTAACCCACACGCTCCAATCTAGCCATGTCATCAAAGCACCTAATTCTTGCCTCCACGAACTCATCAGGAGAGCCATTTGCTCAGCATCCGGAGTGGAATCACGGGGGAGATATATATCAAGTCCCGCGAGGACGCCGGACACCCACATCTTTGTAACAACGCGACATATTTCACGCGAAGTCATTTGTACTGCATGCAACAGAAGGCGTTCTGAGGGGTTCAGGCTCGAGACGTATGATAGGATTGACGATGTGTGCGCGGTCCCGCATGCTTGGAACACTGGTGTTGCCCAGGAATTAGATGAGTCATGCGATGCGCTGGGGGGCACAGTAGAGTGGAAAATGTATGGTGTAAGCATTACACGCAACTGGACATGCACCCGCAGTGCCGGGTCCACGATCGAATCATTTTCTGAATTGAGAAGGTAGTCGATTAACTCGAAGCGCTCTGAGTAACGTTCCACGATAACTCTGAAAAGAGTTTTCCAGTCGATGCCACTAGTGTCACCCTGATCTCGCTCTAAACTGCGAGAGACGCTAAGTCTGACCGCCTTTATATCCCCAGAGGATATAGCTTGTATGTTGTGGTCACACCGTTCCTGGCCGTCGCGTGAGCCAACGAGTGACGGTGCGAGGGTGGTGTCGTACAGTGAGACGATTCCAGCCAGATCAAGGGTTATTCGTGTATCCCCGGGGTATCGATTGTGCCACGACCCTGCGTACATCACTTCGAACATGCGTAGCACTAGAAATATACATTAGGAAGACACAAGGAAGGCGAAAACCACAGAGACTTGCTGATAAAGTTAGGTATTCTTGGGACTGTAGACACCGGTTCGGCGATACTAGCAAGGTGAGACCAGGAGACTATTTCCAGGCCAGCTGTAAAGTCGCAGAGCATGACTTCACTTACGCAAATCAATCAGTTGGAGAGCACAAAGCGAAATTCAAGAACATACAAGTCCATTTCCATTCTGTAAAAGCGGTCGATACGTGATAAGATGATGCTAGATAAATTGGCTTACCGAACATAACCGTCGACAGAGTACTCTGCTCCCCATTTACACAAGTCTATGAGGCGCTGGCCCTCCCTAAACCGCCAATCAGGTCTCAATTCTCCCCATGCAATGATATCCTGAGTGTCAAGAGGGCCAATTATGGTATTAGCTGCGCTAGTCCCATCAAAGTAAAGGATTTTGAGAGGACGAGTTGCTGCAAGTGTCAGGTGCCAACATCCTGCATCGGGAGAGCCTCTGCAGAAGAGAATGGAGTGTTCTGGATCTGTGGCTGTCCACTCTGGAACCGTAGGGATTGTGTTATTGACAGCTCCATGATACAACAAGGTGCCTTTGGGAATTACACCGGGAACCATTGTATGGCCTAGTAGGTCGCGGCAATAACAATATGTGTCAAACATTCATCAATGCCAATGTGAAGATAAGGACTGACCATTTCGATAGCGCGTGTTCGGCCAATGCTGGAGCAGCGAATTGACAGTCTCGAAAACAAAGTGCCCTGTTTCGTTAGCAGGAGGTGGCTCGTCAAGCCGCCAAGATGAAAGGTCGAGGCTATCATCCGAGTCAAGAGAGTTATATGGTTGAGTTATCGTAGAAGTTCCGAGTTCCAGTGACGGCTTGCCATCAGGCGATAAGCCCAACGGGACTTGTGCTGCTAGTGACGGTAAGACAAAGTATGCAACAAACCTCAAAAACATCCTGGGCTACTACTTCGGCTAGAGAGCTATCGCAGTGACTGCTGTAGTACTCTGCAGTGCCAGCGCACGATTACCGATTATCACGCATGCGCATTGCGCAGTAACCAGTTGCGCATTTTCGCTGCCTAAGAATAGGATCTGCCAAAACATTTACATAAGTATCGTTTGAGCGGAGACATATTGCTTACCTAGGGCTGTGGCGCTGCCTCGTTCACACAGCTGCAGCATAGCTTTCATTCCTTATATATGCTCATCAGCCGTGCGAGCATATGACCTTTATTTTGTGGCCACGCAGATCTTTTTTATGTCCGGGGTGATGGGATCATGTATATAGGAGGATGATATCATCGCCGTCCTCGCCGGTGAGCGTGTCGTGGCTTCACGTGACTATGGAATTCCTGAAAGACGTTCATTTCAAGCTGTCGAAGCTCCTTCTGATGATCTTCTTTCTCTATGGTATAGGCAATATCAGTATATGGATAATCAAGGAGAAGGACAGACATTAGACTGTGGTGTGTTTATCCACCTCCTGCTCGTCGAGGCAGCCAGCGAGCTAATCGACACGTCGACACGTATACCCATCAGTGAACCGGTGAGGAAAGTAGAAGACCATATATAGTGGGCCATTGTTGTTCACTGGACAATGCCCTCAGATGGTTCCAAGTGCACATCAGTATATGCGTTCGGTGTTCGCATAATGCAAGTCTCATAACATGCATGGTCTGCAGTGTCGATCATGCAAACTCCAGTGGTGCGTCCAACTTAACGACTGTGCCGTATGATTCCTACGAAAAAAACATCCTACAGCATTGGTCGGGATTCAGGACAAGTAAGCTCATGAAACCTGCACACAAAGAATTTTATACTCATACCTGTCAAGTCGAAAGAGAATAGGCATCACTTTGCACTACCAAACCTACCACGCTGTCAACAATCGGAAATGGCAGGTCCGCGCGGAGTCTTCACTCGAATTTGGAAAAAATATCTCAAAGCGCAATTATTGCCAGAGCATCTACGATTCTGACCGTTCCGCCACAGATTCACTATTTTGCTCCAATACCGGTCAACCACCAGGTAGTTGTCGATGTACTTTGGCCATATTCAGCATTTAAAGTGGCCGTCGTCACAATTATATCGAAGCGGACGTGAGCAACTCATCTCTTCCCGAGGACAATAATGCAGATCCAACAACAATGTATTCCCGCACAGTGGTGCAGGGTATGAGCGTTCTTGATACTGGGATGTCCCATGCCTTCGATACGGTGGAAGGACAAAAAGCGTTCAACTTCACTCTGACTGATGACTATTCAAAGGTCCTGTTTGTCGAGCGACTCATCTACACATCAATTATAACCCAACCTTCGTCAAACTAGTTCCGACACGTGCAAATTCAAGGTTTGTCTTTGGCCATTGTTCCATTTACGGTTAGCTAAAGCAAGCTCCACCTGCTCAGGACGAAATGGATTACGACCCGAACATGTCATATTTTTGAGTTCCGTCGTGTAATCTGGGGGACATACTGAAGCATGGGAGTAGATTCATAACAACGGACGTATCTTGGTGATGTCCTAATTTCTCAGTAACGTTGAATTTCATTTATCTCAGTGGTTCCGCTTGCTGTTCGAAAAAATAGGACGTGTGTAGGTTTTAGTGGATTCTCACAACTTGCTACGTTTTTCTGCGAGCGCCTTCGGCGTTATTTTGAAAGGGTTGTGGCGTATACATCCTGTGAGAATGACTCGTCTGGTGTTTTTTTTTAGCTTTGCGCTTTCATTTGGATCTTTGCTTGTAATGTCCTTTCGTGAGAACCACATTTTCCAAGTGCCGCAGCACATGCTTCTCATGTCTTATATATAGTATCCAATCTCAGTATAACTAGTCCGCAGCCTTTGTCCCAGTCATGACACGTCTTTGCACGAGCAAACGCGACACGTGCTGAAAGTCGCCTCGAGCCTGGGATACCTGTTGCGCCCTACAAATCTGGGGACCAATTAGGGAAGGTGTTCTTTCTTGATTCATAGCGTTGAGTCTCGGGTGCCGGTGAAGCTCAAGGCTCGCGGACCTCTGAAGCAGGGACATCAGTGGCGTAACTGCTGGTGGCGTTTAGACTTTATAATAATGGGGTTCTGGCTGTGGTACAAGAACATGACTTTTGGTTACAGCGAAAACTGGACTGAGACAGTGCAACTGCGTCAAAAGGGTGGGTTGTTCCGCTCCGGGTGAAGAATGTACTAATAATTGATTTGATGAATTCTAGGTTTGTTTTTATATTAGTCTTCCGTAGGCAGATCACAGAAGTCAGTTGTTCCTTCTATCATCATCAACGACTTGCTTCCATTGGGAGACTAATCCGTATGCGTGTCTCGGGGATCTTTGAGAGCTGCACTCTAGAGGGACTAGCAGATCTGGTCTAGACAGCCTTTGTTCCGTTCCCAATCATGACCTGGCATTGAAAACGGTGTCAATTGCACAAAGTCGCCTTCAGAGTGGCGCACGGGTGTAGTACGGCTTGGCGATCCCATCCATATCATTCGGGATATCACCGAAAAGACAGCGCAGCAAGCCAAGGTGCTTGGGTCGTGAGAATGATACGAATCTAGCAAACATTTACTTACACGCGCTACGCATCAAGGCATCGATCAATGCATTCACGGTTCACCAAACGCGTGATGGGAAAGAATTCACCTTACGTAGAGGATACCGATCTTTGGAAAGAGTCATTTGGGAGGTTCACTATTACGAAAGTTGGCGTGGTTACGGCGCAAACTGATATACAAATGCACGAGCGGCAAGATACTGGGGACGTGAGACTGATAAGGGGGGGTGCCAAGAAGCGAACATCCGGAGTTTGAGAGAAGCGCTGGTGAGACACAATAGGGATGCTGACAAAGGGGAAAAAAAATCAAATATTAAATTAGTTTTGTCCATGACGGCATTGTGTAAAATTAAAGTTTATTTTACATGATAAAAAAGGGGTTACGTTATTTTGATCGGGGGGATACGCAGTAATCTGGTTTTTTTGGTGTGTAACGCTTCTCTTCCTCTTACCACCATCACCCATCCATTCACTCACTCACTAAGGCCCCTCCTTCGCTGGTCGACTTAACGAACTCAACAACTAATGTTTTATAATGTCTGATACTTCACATTCACACAATTACGGTACAAGAATAAGGAACAATTCAATCCTTAAACCGAGCGCTCGTCTTCGTCAATCACCACAACCAAGGCGTATAAAACCAGTACCACATCCAACACAAACAGAATCAACTCAAAATCAATCTCAATTCCCAATATTTCCACTACCAAATGTCATGCTACATCCAGAAGACGCCACCAGCAAGGTATTTCATGCTATCGGTCGTTGCTTCCTCAGCGTGGTGAGTCCCTTTCCTCGTTCCTATTCATACCTTCACGCGTGTATCTCTAGGACAATCGTGCTATGACGATCAAGGACCTTGCGGAAATGACTTTAAACTTCGGCCTCGTGTGTCAGAAGTATGTTCTCCTTTCTTTCCTCTCTTCACCCTACTCACAACACCCTAGTGTTTCTGCTGCGTCGCAAGCAATAACTACTTACATCCGAAATCATCTCTCTCGATGCGAGGCTCAACAAGATCACCCTCTTCTTCTTCGACATACCCTCTCTGGCACACCCGCTGACGACGATCTAGTTCCTGCACTGCATTCCCGCGTAGGAGGCGCACCCCTACAAAGGCAACCACTCGACACCACGTGTCCAAATCAGAACATTCCTACCGGTCGCCGTACAAACTTTCGTCGTGGCACAATCGTATGGTATCTTTCAAAAGCTAGTGGCGTCTCCTGCCCTTTTTCTCGTGCTGGTATTCTCCTTTCAAATTATCCCGCTTCCACTTCCAATACAAAGCCTCGAAAGCAATCTCACAGTTCAATGGAAAAGTGCGGAGAGAAACGCAAAAGACTCATCTCAAGACGCTGTCGTGCCACTGACAGACTCTCAGAGAGCGCCAGTCCACCGCCCAGCTCCAGTCCTGTAGATAGCGGTTATGCAGAGAGTGCCTCCAGTTCTTCTGACGAAGAAGAAGACGAACCTGAAAGACCTCCAAAAGTCAAACTCACCTTACGTCTCCGTCCCTCTCCCACTACCACAGATCCCACAGACATCATTGATCTCTCCCATGATACTTCCTCTGACGATGACGTCGACATGTCCCCAGCAGAGCCCGATATCAGTCCAGAACCATTTTGCCTCCCACCCTATCCTCGCAGATCAATCGCAGTCCCATGTTACACCCCCATATCTCCTCCCTCCCTTCAATACATCTTTCCCCCGCCACCCATCGACCAATCCAGAGCAAGCGCATCACCTCCGCCCGATTCTGATCACGAGGAAGATATCGACTTCGATTTCTCAAGCGATGAAGAGGAATCTCGAGGTGTGAGCGTGAAAGTAGAAGACGAAGGAGAAGATAATGGTATTGGCACAAGTCAGAACGTGAGAGACATGCTAGATGCTTGGGAGGACCTAGATCTCAATCGTGCGCGGTCATATTCATCCCCAGAGTCTGGGTTCGCTTCGGTGTCGCGGGAAAACGAAAGTCGCCATGCAGTCGCTCCAGAGGTCAAGGTTGAGGAACTTGAGATGTGGGAATGGGAGTTTGATAGTGGCTGGGCGGGTGCGTGCGGGGAGATTGAAGTCAAGAAGGAAGATGCTCCAGAGGCGCTGAATGGGTTGTCGCTGTCGCCTACGAGTGTGCCATGGAGTGGGTTCCCACTCTCTCCTATGTCGCCACTCACCCCTTCTCCAACATCCCCGGGTTCGAGCACGGGGTTCATGTTCCATCATTCGTCGGCACTGCCTGGGTCCCCAAGGGTCAACATTTCCCCTCTTCGGCCCACGCATTCAAAGAAACCTTCCCTGGAACGCAAGAACAGCGTGCTGGACTGGCAAGATGCAGAACTACTTGGTCCTGATAGTGTCCACATTACCGAGCTCGAGCTAGAATGGGAAAAGGGAACTCGGCGGACACGATTCGTATCACCCGCACCTAACACTTCTTTATCACCAGGTGAAGACTGCCAAATGACTGGTCCCGAGCCTCTCCCTGAACGCAAAGATCAAGTAGTAGTAGTCCACACGTGCGTACCGTGCGATCCACCTGTTAGCGCTACACAGGTCGAAGGTAAGTCGCATTTCATTTCGTCTCGATTCTTCTCTGTCTGTGGTCTGTATCGGGCATTAATTGAGTTCCAGGAATACCGGTGTATCAAACTACGCTGCCTCTTTACGCACCCCACACGACGCGCACGCTTTTGAGGAGGCTAGACACTGATTTCGTAAACCTTACACCCTTGCTTGCTGCATTTTCACCATCGCCATCACCTTGTGCTACTGCGGTCCCAGTTCTTCCGCCGAGCGCTGTGCGGTTTGAGCATCCAAATTTGGCCGTGGCAGGGGTGTGGGTGTCGTTGGATTGTGCGAGGGAATTTTTGAGGACGAGTATTCAGGCGGGTACCCAACGCACAGGACGGCCTTACTTTCAAGACGAGACGCTAAGAACAAGCGTAGAGGTGTTCCTAAGCGACGAGCTTGTGATGCGGTTCCCGAGCGCCTTGAGGGATTTCTGGAGGACGAGTAAACCTGGGAGGATGTTGGGGCAGTTTGGAGTGTGTTTTGAGGGTGGGAGGGTTGTGAGTCAGGGCTCGTCGTCTTCTTCGTCGTTGGTGTCGGCACGGGCGTCGTCTGTGTTATCTCCACCTCAGTCGACTTTGCCCTCGGCGCCTTCGTCACGGGCCGAACCGTATCCCCTGCCGTCTTCTTCGCAGTCGCATCCACATTCATCATCTTTGGAGCCACATTCACATTCGGCTTCGCCACTATTGCCGTCTCCATTGCCCGCATCCACCAGCCCCGCACTTCCCACGCCTATACCTAATGCCCACGAGGTATGGAGTCTCACTGAAGACGCCGAGCCAGAAGCAGAAGTCGAAGCAGAACCTGTGCTTCCTGCATTTGATATTGCGCTGGCAGTACTTGCGTCGGGGTTAGGACCAAGTACTAGTTCTGGAAGTGGGAGTGCATGTCTCGGGAGTGAGATTGATTTTGAGAGGGGGAGCGTCCTCGGGAGTAGTGTTGACTTTGGGAGTCCGCGAGCTAGTTTGGGGGGCGGACACACCAGCATTGGAAGTGGAAGCACCGGTCTCAGAGTTGGACGTACTGATTTTGGACCGGGAAGTGCCGATCTCGGAAATGGTCATGGGATTGGAAGCGGAGAGCCACCGCTGAGTCCTACGGAGGCGGAAATGTTCCGGGTGTTGTGCATGTGTCCTGATTGGGAGGAGGGCGAGGGTTATGCAAAGGGTGATGTGTTTATGGATGTCCGGGATGAAGACGCAGACGAGGAGCGTGATGACAACGTAGGCCACCAATGCGATAAAGACACGGACGCTGATGCTGACGTGGACGTGGAGATCGTGGAAGAGGAGCCGAGGAGTATGAAAGATGGCCGTTCGTTGAGGCGGTCGAAACGGGTTGCGGATGCTGTTGCTCGCACGCGGGGTGTGCGGCCCCGGATGAGGGGACCGAGACATGCGTGAGGTTTGATCGGATGGCTCGACGGTCCGAAACTCCACCATCATGTTTGCTACTCCATCAACTTGGTCGAGTGATGCCCACCATCATGTTTGTTACTCCATCAACTCGGTCATCACTGCATCACTCGACCGACATTCGAACTGCTTTGACATGCATTTGCTCGACTCATTTTCATCACTGCAAGGTCCATCAGGTCTCAAGCCCCCCCTCTTTTGCTTGACTGCCTGCTTGCAGGTCTTCGTTCTGGACTGATTTTTTGTTGCTTTTTTTTGCTAGCTTCGTTCGTTAGAGCTGTATCAGTTATCGACCCGTCTCTCATATACCTCTTTGCGCAAAGATGCGCCAAGTATTCTAGGTTCACCAGTCAACCCTTTCGCTCGCCCTTTTACCTACCTTTACTTTTTGCGAGCATGGGGTCGATTGCATCATACACATTCATCCTCCATTTTTTGTCTTGCAACGGCTTTCGTTTGTATGCTATAGCTCACAGCCCCCACTCATAGTTTACTCGCTTGTGGTACACATACAGTAATCAGGAAGCGTTTAAACAAATCATGATGATCAATCACCAATCAACGTGTTCCAGATAGTAAGCTGCGCTTGAGGCAGTGACTGGCAGTACTCGGATATTTACTAGTTTCTTTTCTGATGCGGTGGACGAACAAGAATCTTGGGCGTAACACAAGGGTAACAAGGAAATTATTCGTAAGTTTCATGATGGGAAGAATAGCGGAGTGTGAAAAGCTAGAGTGGGATTTCTTTCAAGGTTTCTCCCAACCACTGAATTTGTAGCATCATCTTACTTAGTACTTGCATATTTCTCTGGTCCCAGTCGCCAGGCTTTCTAAAGTACCTCCTCTCTGGACTGACTGTCCAATCCAATATCCTTGCTTTAACTCTTTTTTTTTGGCTTTTTCTATTCCGTTCTTTTTTTTGTGACAGGCTAATTCAAGTCTCGACCCGCTTCGCGACTGCCACCGCGAAAACGAACGAAACGACCCTGCTCGTCTAGGCTCGCATCACAATCATAGGTCCAGCTTGGGCATCAAGTCTTATCATTTGCACGACAAAAACAACGGACCAGTCGTCCGTTAATCATCCCATCCACCCAACGCTAATCCTAATTCCACCAAAATAAGCCCTATAATGTCTTTATCTGCCTCTGACAACAATGGCTCCTATTCACGAGTCTCCTCGGGAAAGACCCCTCCTCCAGCTCCTTCTGCTGCATATGCAAAGAGGTACGTCTCATTTTTTCTAGCTTTTTTAGCCGATCTGCTTCGTTTACCACGCTTGTGAACAGGGCACGGGAGATCCAGGCGGAAGAACGGCTGAACGGTGCTAGATATAGGCCACCTGCGCTGCGCGCTCTTCCTCCGAGCGGTTCTCCCCCAAACGACTTTACCGTCGCTTCCCCCAGTGATGATTCTACCACATCTGCTTCTAATTATCCACCAGGTTTTAGGAGAGCGCGAGCCGGAACGCTGCCTTCTGATGTCCATCTCGCTGCACAGCGCTTCGCTGCTGCATCTAATACTCTGAGCAGTGCTGCTCCTTCGACGGAATCGTTTGCCGAACAGTTGCAACAGAGGCAGGCCGCTAACACGCCTCCTAGCATTCTCGTACCCCCGCGTCCTAGCATTCGGCATACCACAACTGTAGCGGCTCCACAGGCAGCTCCCACATCTGTCGGCTCCGAGCGCAACAGTCGCTTGAGGTCAGGTTCATTAACGCTGCCTTCCGCCGGTCTTTCCAACGCATTCGGCCCGTCTATCTTCTCATCGTCATGGTTATCCTCCGCCAATGGATCGGGATCCAACTTTCCTGTTCTGGATGAGTTACGCTCCGTCACGTCCGCAGATTCGGTCGATGATTTTGATGTTCATACCTTGGATTACCTCGGCTTGGATGATAGTCTCCGACCACCACCTGCTGCTACTATATCTGAGCTACGGACTCAAGCGCAGGCTGCTATCGCCGGGAACCTCGCTAATCCACCACGCTTGAGGGCCAGTACGGTTTCAAACCCGTATCGTACGCGCTCGTCTGGTGCTTCGTCTCTCCTCGCCACCCCTAATGCGGAGGAGGAAGAGGAGTACTTTGATGGGCATGATACTCAGCCGTACGAACGTCAACGGTTGGGTCTGTACGATGGCTCCATGTCAGACGCTAGTCTCTTCCACTCGTCATACGTGGCGAAGGGGTTCAAGCAGGGCGACCATCTAACGCCTGCGAGCGCGCTCTCATCTCGGCCCAGAGCAATCTCTGTAGGAACGCTTGATGATCCCATTCGTACCCTTCAGCGCCGCGCCACGACTAGTGAAGCTCAATCCCCCTATCTCAACGATCTTGCGGCTGCGAGTGGGAGTCTTGCAAATCTATCTAATCCGGCTGGGATTTTGAAGAGCGATGCGAAGATGTCGAGTGCGCGCGGAACGTCTTCGCCGACAGTGCATTTTCCTAATGGCGAGTTGAGTCGTGCGTCCTCGTACCTCGCTGCGCCCAATTCGCAGGGAAGGGCTGTGTCCCCCAAGACCGAGGCGAATAATAACTCGCAGATCCAGACCCCTACGCGGTCGTTATGGATTGGGAATTTGGATAGCGCTGTCACGAGCGAGCAGCTTATCCATGTGTTTGCGCCGTATGGTGCTATTGAGAGTTTAAGGCTTTTACCGGAGAAGGTACGTGATTGAGATTGTTTGGACGAGGAGATACTGATATTTTGGTTGGTTCAAGGAGTGCGGTTTTGTTAATTTTGTTGACCAAGCGGATGCTATTCGAGCCAAAGACGATGTGCTCAACCGTCTAGGTGGGAACATCGGTATGCCGAACGGGCAGACCGTACGCATTGGCTTTGGGAAGGCGGACAGTGCTCCTGTTGCCCCTGCCAAGGGCACGACTGTTACAAGCTCTGGCGCTACGTCTCCTAGTGGCTTGAGCAAGGCCAGCAGCCCTGGCCTTGGTGGATTGGACGCGCAGCTGCAATCTACGCCTACTCGTGCGTTGTGGATTGGGTCTATTCCGAGCACTACGACACCTGCGACGATCTTAAGCGTTTTCAGTCCTTATGGACCTATTGAATCCGCGAGGGTGTTGACGCATAAAAATTGTGGATTCAGTGAGTGTCAAGTGTCGTGGAGTGTTTTGATATTAATCATCTGGGTTAGTTAACTTTGAACGTCTGGATGACGCTGTGCGCGCCAGGAAGGCCTTGAATGGTCGTGATGTCCTTGGTAGCGACGTTGGTGCTATTCGTATCGGCTTTGCCAAGGTCCCTGTCAAGAATGGTCAAGAAGGAAATGGAACGCAAGATGACAGTCCCAGCGTTGCAGTGCAGGGTATTGGTGATTTGAGCGTCGGAGCTACTATCCATGCTCTTCGCAGCGTGAAGGGCGCGTCCACTATTCCAGCAGATCAGCAAGTGCTTGGTGGTCAGGTGGAGAACTATCGCTCGAATCTCTTGCTGAGCATGATTGGCTCTGGCATGCATAATATCGCATATGTTTCTGATGGTTTGTCGAAGCCTGCTGGCTGGTTGCCGTCGGTCACGGAGCAGCAAATGATCATGAAAGAGTTGACGGCTGGTAGCCCTGATGCTGACTTTGATATTCAGTCGTTGTCTGGTACGTGTTTTTCAGCCACTGATGTCAGGGGGCCTCTGACACAGGGTTCACAGAGTTCCGCCCCCCGACGATGTATTACACAACGATTCCACTCGTTTCTGAGAGACCTAACAACAGGCGCTGGGATGCTTCAAAATTGCGTGAACTCCGGAAAAGGCTGGATTCTGGGACAATGACCGTGGAGGAAACTGATCAAGTTGCTGGTGACTTTTTGGATGGCGAGATTGTCGACTTGGCCTCGGACTGGCTGGGCAACACGGTGGGTATCCCCACGCCGAGTTCGGTTGCTGTGGCTTACCTGGGTGTGCTGCAGGTCGTACAAAAGCTGTTTGAAAAGTGCTCTTCTGTGCCACGGTTCGCGATGCTTGAGAGAATCACGCCTCATTTGGCGATGATCGGCATTCACAAGAACGGTACTTGGGCTGCACAGAAGATCATCGAGTGTGTCCAGACTCCTGAGGAGGTCGGGCTCATCGTACAAAATTTGAGGGCTTATGCTCCACCATTGTTGCTTGATCAGTTTGGTAACTATGTGGTTCAGTACGTGCAACGATGTTTCTTTGTCGGTATCATTGATAACTGAGCAATTATTAGGTGTTGTCTACGTTTCGGGGCTCCTGCTAACGATTTCATCTTCGACGCTATGGTCGATCGTATGTGGGAGATCGCACAAGGTCGTTTCGGTGCACGCAGCATGAGAGCATGTCTTGAGAGCCCGCATATCACGTTGAGCCAGCAACGTCGTATTGCTACTGCCGTGATCTTGAACTCTATTCCTCTGGCGACGAACCCTAACGGCGCGCTGCTGCTGACATGGCTGCTTGACACGTCTTCTTTCCCTTCACGGTACAACCTTCTCGCGCCTCGTTTCACACCTCATCTATCGCATCTGTGCACGCACAAATTGGCATCTTTAACTGTTCTTAGGATTGTCAACCAGAAGATCGAGTTCGAAGCATCTCGTCAAATCGTCCAGGCGTTATTCTCGTCTCCCGGGGACCATGTTCTCACTGACGTGTTGGGTGATCAAGTGAACGGTGTCGCGGTTGTGCACAAGATTTTAACTAGCCCGTTCATCGACCCTATTGACAAGCCAACTTATATCGAGGCCACTAAGCGGGTATTAATCGAGCTCAAGGTTATCGCTACCCAGGCGTACCGCCGGCTGATTGAAGAAGTTGGTCTTCCCATCCCAAACTACCAGCCCACGTACACCACTAATGGTCCGCCTGGCAAGAAGGGTCAAAACCCGAATCACTATGGAGTGCCTGGCCTTCCGTCAGGCTACCCTTCGAATGATCAGGGTTTGGCTTCGATGATGGCTGCGTTGCAGATGGGTGGGCAGAACCCCCAGTCTGGGCCCCCGCAACTGCACATTGATCCTGGATATGGTCAAGCTCCCGCACCACGCGGCCGTATTTCTCAGCCACCTTCTGCGTTTTCGCCTTCCTCGGATCCTTTCAATCCTTTTGCCCTTCGCTCTCCGGACATGAGCAGCCCTCGTACCTCTACTATTCGTCGTAATGGCGGACTTCCCTCGATTCCTCCTTCCATGACTCCCACTCCCATCTCTGCCATCCCATACGGCAATCAATCTCCCAATCTTGCACCTGGTGGCATCCTCAACATGGGTCAGCCAGGTTTCAATACTCAGAATGTCCCCCAGCACCTCTACCAGGCATATATGTACCAAGTATACCAGCAAACACCGCCGTCCAGCATGGGCACCTTCAATTAAAAGCACACTTACGACCCCGCTCACGACCTGCTTTGTTGCATATCGAATGAAATTATTCCTTTCTGTTGTCTATCTATTCTTCTGCCACACCATGCGCCAGGTTATTTGCCAGACAATTACAACAACCCATTCCTTTCCGATGATACCCCTCGTCGCGCTTCTTTCAAAGTCACGCTCCTTACTTACTTTTTCCCCCTTTGGGCAAGCACCTCGGTGGTGGATTCAGAGGGCCAGTGCAGGAAATATTGCTATTTCTTTTTTCATTCTCCAATTCTACATATCTGCATTCCTACGTTGGTTGGTTTGTGTATAAATACTACGTGTGGATGGCTGTAACACAATTATCGCCCTGAACTATAGATGAATATTGAAACTGCCCTTCTACTCGCATTAACGTTGAGGACTACTTTACAAACCAAATACGCACAAATACAAGTATGGCTCCATAGGAAGCAACATGCCAGTTTTTGGAACTTATTATACAGTATACCCGTGTCATTGCCATACCCGCATGAAGCTTTTTTTCGAAATCGTGACATCCACCGGATCGTGGGTACCTCAACCTAGAACGAACTGATCGTTCCTTCTGATGGGGGTCTGACTAAGTACCCGTGTTTGTCGCTGCGCACAACCTGGGCGGAATTCAGGAAATAATATTGCGTCCATCTTCCATCGTTATTCCTATCGTCGATCTTCTGATAATTTGAAGACAACCATGAATTATAGAAGAATGAACATTGAAAACTGCTATCTCAACCGCTATCGAGTTCGGCGTTCGCCCCATTAGTATTAGCTGCGGAGAAGTAACGTTATGGATGCGCTCCCTGAATATATAACCAGGCGTCCAAAGGCCCTTGGCGCTTTGTCGGAATGCTGTTTACAAGGAAAGCCGCAGCCATCTGGCTTTCTCTTGCCTTTCAACGGGTTCTCACTGCACAGATACCTCTGTCGAGTCACGCGCCTCCATCCTTTTACCCGGGGGTCGAAAGTGATCTTGGACAATGGAACCTTGATGAAGGACCTGCGGTGAACGCGACAGGACATCTGGTGTTTGAAACGGCCAATTCCTTGCTTCAACATTGGGCAAATACCCGTCATCGTATTGGTATGTTTGAAACCCCAATCAGACGGGTTGCGACTCATCATTTACGTCCTGCAGGTCATACAATAGTCCCTGGGACTATTCCCGTAGGCACTATCCTCTACCATGGAGCTCTCTTCGGTCCCCATTTACCGACCGCCGTGAATTGGGTGTCTGTAGAGCCAGACCACTCCATACTTTTCTGCAGAGGGAAAATTGAAACAGGGTGCTGGCACCTCACCCTTGCAGTCACTCGTCCAATGAAAGTGCTCTATTTTGATGGAAACAGCGCTGCGAAAATTCCTGAAGGCACTTTGGACACTCAAGATCTCGTGGCATGGTCGGAAATGAAACCCGAGTGGTTGTGGAATGAAGGGCAGCGCATAAGGGATCTGTGTAAATGGGGTGAGAAGTATGGCGTGAACGGCTTTGTGAGGTTCGTTGGATGTTGAGATGCGTGCGCGCAAATACCTGATGCTGATTTGTGAGTCCATAGGATGGAAATGAATTTGTGCGAACCCAGACGTAGTTCCTTGGTGATTTGTTATTGACGACGGTTATAGTGAAATCATGATCTGCAACTTCACCTCTCACATGGAGGTCGTCTCGTTCGCAAATATCGAGACCACTCGCTTCTACGTCGAATGGGATACGGGTCTGCCAGTGGGCCCCGATGCTAGTGAGTGATCATGTTCATATATTGATGTAGGTCCGATTTATTCTCGGACTATCAGTGCTTCACGCTTTTGAATCGGTGCATTGTGTTTCATGGCGCGAAAATTACCCAGGAGAAACCCGGATTATGCTTGATTTTTCTGAACTGGTCTCTTTCTACGACACCGCTCTTGTTCCCTCCTTAGGTGCCGCGCCGTGTAGGCTTGGACCGGGGAGACCATCGAGTAGGAGGAATATCACCGGAAGATATAGAACGTGTCCAAGACAGGCTAGCTCAAGCGCTAACACGACCACCCTCGACAACCAGCGGCATTGACTGGAAAACGGTCTTGCGCGTGGTGGTCGATCGATATGCCAGCCGCCTAGAGTTCATACAGCACCTTTTGAACCTGACGTTGGATGATGGATCGATCTTTGACCACACACAACAAATTCAGAGACAGTTGCGCACCGTACTTTTGCCCTACACTGTATTTGCAGCTCTGCCTCCCAATACCTCCGTCACCGCCAACGCGACAAATTCGTGGGCTGCGCCAGTTTTTCGGGAATGTGCTGCATCGCACGCGGCCTCCATTGCGTATCGTGGAACAACATTGACGCCCTCTGAACGTTTGCTCCTGCAGGCGGTGCAGGAAACTACGCATGAAATATGTCGTGTCGTCACGAAGATGTGGGCTTCCGGAATGAATTTTGGAGTCGACGCCTTTTATCCTCCGGCACAACGCCCTGAAGCTGATCACATACATACTCTCATAGGTGAATGGAAGGAGGATGTGACCCATTTAATCTCCTGGTTGGACTGGAGCGTGTGGGTGAAATGCCGACCGGCCTGTGGTTTCGAGGTAACAAAATCAAGTTACTTGTTTACGACATGACTGACCTCGTCATGTAGGAGATGTGCTACTTGCCTACTTGGCCCTTTGGGTTCCCAACAACCCGGCCAGCACAATGGGACAGTGCTTCCTTATGGCCAGACCCAGACAAAGGGGAATGGAAGAGACTACAGCCCAAGTGCATCAGACGACGGGAGCCATATAGTTTTTAGGATACATGCACTATTGCTGACATATACACGTTTTTGTATGTAGTTTTTGTAAAATTATCGCAGGGGAGTTTAAGCGCAGACGTATGTACTTCACTGAGCCAGTTATTCGAGAAAGAAAAACAAGAAAACCATTATGCTAAAAACCAGGGTATAGGCGTATACGGTATATAAGTTCCATTTTTCGTTAAAAAACCCAACTTGTGTGGCTTCCTATTGTCTGTAGTGCAAATTGGGCTGTGATCATGTCACAGTCAGTTTGAATGTGACATGTCCTTATCTAGCTTAAAGCATACGAAATTTGAAGTAATTATGTCAGAATGTGTCGCAGAATAGTTTGACCCTACAATCGTGACATCCTGGACCAAGTCGAGCCTCCACAAGATGAAAGTCCAACGCGGCCGGATCCAGCCTAGAATGAACTGATCGTTCCTTCTGACTACCGTGATGGCAGACTAAGTACCCCGTGATTGTCGCTGCGCACAACTGGGCGAAATTCAGGAAATAATATTGCGTCCATCTTCCATCATTCTTCCTATCGTCAATCATCTGATGACTGGAAGACAACCATGAATTATAGAAGAATGAACATTGAAAACTGCCATCTCAACCGCTACCGAGTTCGCCTCCATCAGTACGAGCAGCGGAGAATCAAACTATAATTTTATAGATACGCTCACTGAAAATATAACCAAACTTACAAAGGCCCTTGGCGCTTCGTCGGAATGCTGTTTACAAGGAAAGCCGCAGCCGTCTGGCTTTCTCTTGCCTTTCAACAGGTTCTCACTGCACAGACACCTCTGTCGAGTCATGCGCCTTCATCCTTTTACCCCGAAAGTGATCTTGGACAATGGAACCTTGATGAAGGACCTGCGGTGAACGCGACAGGACATCTGGTGTTTGAAACGGCCAATTCTTTGCTTCAACACTGGGCAAATACCCGTCATCGTATTGGTATGTTTGAAACTCCAATCAGACGGGTTGCGATTCATCATTTACGTCCTGCAGGTCATACAGTAGTCCCAGGGACTATTCCCGTGGGCACTATCCTCTACCATGGAGCTATCACCGGTCCCCATTTACCGACTACCTTGGATTGGGTGTCTGTAGAGCCAGACCACTCCACAATTTTCTGTCAAGGGCCAATCGAAACAGGGTGCTGGCACCTCACCCTTACAGTCACTCGGCCAATGACAGTGCTCTATTTTGATGGAAACAGCGCTGCGAAAATCCCTGAGGGCACTATGGACACCCAAGATCTACTGGCATGGTCGAAAATGAAACCCGAGTGGTTGTGGAATGAAGAGCAGCGCATAAGGGATCTGTGTAAATGGGGTGAGAAGTATGGCGTGAACGGCTTTGTGAGGTTCGTTGGATATTGAGATGCGTGCGCGCAAATACCTGATGCTGATTTGTGAGTCGTAGGATGGAAATGAATTTGTGCGAACCCAGACGTAGTTCCTTGGTGATTTGTTGTTGACGACGGTCATAGTGAAATCATGATCTGCAACTTCACCTCTCACATGGAGGTTGTTTCATTCTTAAATCTCGAGAGCATTCGTATCGGCAGCGACCGACCATATCTGCCAGAGGACCCCGATAGTAGTGAGTGAATGTGTCCATGTTTTGACGTAGGTCCGATTTATTCTCGAACATCAGTGCGTCACGTTTTTGGATTAGTGCATTCTGCTTCATGGCGCGAAAATTATCCAGGAGAAACCCGGATTATGCTTGATTTTTCTGGGCTTGTCTCTTTCTACGACACCGCTCTTGTTCCCTCCTTGGTGCCGCGCCGTGTAGGCTTGGACCGGTGGGATCACCGAGTGGCAGGAATATCACCGGAGGATATAGAGCGCGTCCAAGACAGGCTAGCCCAAGCGTTAGCACGACCACCCGCGACCACTAGCGGCATTGACTGGAAAACGGTCTTGCGCGTGGTGGTCGATCGATATGCCAGCCGCCTAGAGTTCATACAGCACCTTTTGAACTTGACGTTGGACGATGGGTCGATCTTTGACCACGCACAACAAATTCAGAGACAATTGCGCACCGTGCTTTTGCCCTACACTGTGTTTGCAGCTCTGCCTCCCAATATCTCCGTCACCGCCAACGCGACAAATTCATGGGCTGCGCCAGTTTTTCGGGAATGTGCTGCATCGCACACAGCCTCCATAGCGTATCGTGTAACAACATTGACGCCCTCCGAACGTTTGCTCCTGCAGGCGGTGCAGGAAACTACGCATGAGATATGCCGCGTCGTCACGAAGATGTGGGCTTCCGGGATGAATTTTGGAGTCGACGCCTTTTATCCTCCGGCACAACGCCCTGAAGCTGATCACATACATACTCTTATGGGCGAATGGAAGGAGGATGTGACGCAGTTAATCTCCTGGTTGGACTGGAACGTGTGGGTGAAGTGCCGACCGGCCTGTGGTTTCGAGGTAACAAAATCAAGTTGCTTGTTTGCGAAATGACTGACCCCGTCGTGTAGGATATGTGCTACTTGCCTACTTGGCCCTTTGGGTTCCCAACAACCCGCGCACCACTTCAAGCCCAATGGGACGGTGCTTCCTTATGGCCAGACCCAAACAAAGGGGAATGGAAGAGACCACAGCCCAAGTGCATCAGACGACGGGAGCCGTATAGTTTTTAGGATACATGCACTATTGCTGACATATACATAGTTTTTGTAAAATTATCGCAGGCCTGGAGTTTAAGCGCGCGTGACGTATGTACTTTGAAGAAGGTTATGGTTTCACTGTTTTGACGTGTTGGCTCTTTGTGATTGTCAAAAGCAAAGTCACACTCTCGTCTCTTGCATCGACTACAATATGAGTACAGACCAACAAATGCATCTGGCGGTAGCTCCCAGAGCTAGCTCGTCGCATCTGAACAAACCAGCACGTCAGCTTGTGCCCGCTTTTCTCCAGAAACTATATGAGTGCGTATTTCGTCAAATCTAATCTCACAGATGCTGTAGTCCTGACATCCTACAACCATCTTACTTCATAGGATGGTTAATGACCCCTCAGACCATGATCTCATTCGATGGTCTGACACCGGTGACTCCTTCTTTGGTACGTCCCAGCGCCAGTCTTTCCCTACCCAATATTCAACGAATTTGGCACACTCATAGTCCTTGACCAAGAGCGCTTCGCAAGCGAAGTCCTAGGACGCTGGTTCAAACACAAGAACTTCTCCTCATTTGTCCGCCAACTCAACATGTACGGCTTTCACAAAATTCCTCATCTCCAACAAGGTGTACTCCGCTCGGATTCTGATACCGAATTCTGGAACTTCGAGCACCCCCATTTTCTCCGTGGCCAACCGGATATGCTCTGCCTTATCCAGCGTAAGAAGCAGGCCGTATCCGCCTCTGACGTCACCTCCGCCGTCGCTGAAGTTCCCAATAAAGACCTGGGTGCAGCTGCATCTGCAGGCGCCTTGACCCCTGGCCAATTAATGGACATGAACTCAATCGTGAATGGTATTCAAGCCATCAAAAGACACCAAGCCGCCATCTCTGCTGACCTCAACGACCTCAAGTCTTCCAACCAACATCTTTGGCAGGAAGCCATCGCTGCTCGTGAGAGGCACAAGAAACACCAGGACACCATTAATCGTATCCTCAAATTCCTTGCTGGTGTGTTCGGTCATGCAGACAATCCAATACGCAAGGATGATATAGGTGGAGGTGGGGTTGTCAGTGGTGGTGAGGGGAGTGAGATCGTCGCGAGGAAGCCACAGCGGTTGATGATTGGCGATGGACGCAATGACGGAGGGAGTGGTGCAAAGAAGGGTGTCGACATTGCTGAGATTATGGAGGACCAACAGAGGACCAGCATAGATAGTGCAAAGTCTTCTGAGATGGGTGTGTCCTCCATTTGCATGTATGTCTCGGCATTGACGCCCTGTTTACATGATTTTGCAGATTTTTTCGCATCTCTGGACACACCTTCTGCTATCCCATCTGAGTATGGTCCTTCGTGCAATACTTCACCCCGATTTGCATCCATTGAACCTTCTCTTCCTGATGCCCCAACTCCCTCAGCAGATGCAAATACCACGTCATGCCCCAACACCGCCCCAATCAGCACCACGACTACAGCCAATGGCATCAATCTAAACACATCAAATATAAATACCGCTCCACCCACCTCACCAAATACCGCCCTCCCTCGCCCTGCCCCGATTCACCACTCAGTCTCTGCACCTGCTTTCACCTCCCTGACTACAACATCCCCTCCGCCTTCCCCACAGAATGATGCCCTCATCCATGCTGCACTATCCCAGGTGCTCTCATCTCCTGTGCAGATGCAGAAACTGATAGCTGCTCTCGGCGGGGGTGGGTTCTCGTTTCCAGGAGATGGACACACGCAAGGAATAATACCACAATCCATTATGCAGCAGCCTTTCCCCGCCCAGCCACAACCCCAGCCGCAGCCGCAAGCCCAGTTGCCCCAGCAACACACAAACGCCAATCCAGCACAACTAATGCCGTACGACCCCCCCATGTTCCAGACCGACTACTCTGGTCCATACGCCCTCTCTCAAAATGATGGTGCTGAGTTAGCGGCTTTCGAAGCACACGATGATCACCTGCAGAAGACTTACTCTACAGCACACGAGATCAACACAGATGTTGACTCGCTAGAGACAAACATTCATTCCCTTATTCAGAGCCTTGGCTTTGACCCGTCGACTTTTGACGCTACTGACGGCGCACAGCCGCATCTCGATGATCCCTATGGGGTAGGTTCGGGGCAGGATTCTTTTGACATTGGCTCATATCTTAACGGGATGGATCTGGCGCATGATGCGGCTGGGCATACGGGCCAGGGTGAGGAAGATCCGGATATGGAGAGCTTGAGGTTGGCAGACAAGCTGGATTCGTCAACGGCGCGTGGAGCAGGCGTAGACAAAAAAGTGCCAAGTGAAGAGATGCATGCATTCCTTGACGGGGTTACTTCTCAAAATGGCGGCGTGGACATGGCCACGTCTTTGATGCAAACAACCCAAAGTGCGAACGCCACGCGAGGCCGCAAACGCAAATCAGACATACCGGATGTTGATTCACTCTCTGGTCCAACAGAATCGACATCATCATCAGCAGGAAGTAGGACTAAAAGGAAAAGATGAATAAATAGCAGGATGGGCGACATGATGTGAGTAAGGAATGTCAAAACACTGTAGAGCTATATTGATACTGCTACCACTGTGTTATTATAACGTTACCGTTATATGTAGTGCTGTAATACGTCGAAAAATGTAACGATAGACAGAAATACACTGACCGACTTGTCAGTGGTACAATCCGTAAGAATGAGGAAAATCCATTAACAGCTTGTAGTAAAAATGCAAGAAATAAATCGCTGAGATGGTTATTCATAATGCAGAACTCAATTCTGCGGCGGCAAGCGAGGTGGTGGTGGGGGTCGCTGTGCTGCAGGACTGCTTGGGTCATACAGCCCAACACTGAATGGTGTGAACGGGCGGATGTCGAGCTGTATCCCAGGTTTCGCCGACGGGGACCCAACCCGCATGGGCGAATTATCAGTTCCCATGCTTATGCTGTCGTAATATCGCACGCGAGCATCCTCTTCCTGAGTCTCCTGGATATACTCAGCGGGCGGACGTGGCATGAGCGGTGGAGGAGGCGGTGGTGAGAAAGCGGTACTCGATGGCGAACGGTGGTGAGGGATGAAACCTGAAGCAGATGCGGATACATTGCCATTAGCCTGCTGTTCCTCGGCGGCGTATTTGGCACGTAGCTGTGCCTTTTCTTCGGCTGCTGTGAGTGGTCTGAAGCCACTGACACCAAGTGCAACAGGGGGAGGCGGGAGGCTTGAGCCATTGACGGCCCGTGGAGGGGGAGGCTGAGGCTGCTGCTGGGCGAGTGCTACACCATCTTGTTCCTCAAACTTCCGCCGGAGGAGTTCCTTCTCTGACAGGGCGCTAGTTACAGATGATTGGGCGGGTGGTGAGTACAGTGGGGAAGCGGTGTACGAGGGTGACATGTCAGCAGGACTTTGTGCAGCCATGGCGGCCGCATCCTGTGCCTCGTGGTGCCTCCTCAACTTCTCCTTTTCATTCAGATACTGTGGCTGACCATTCGGCCCGTCAAACGGTGGAGGCATATCAGACCCACTTGGCTGTGCGTCGTAGGACATGCTCCGAGAAATACTGGATGAGGGGTAGAGGGTATCGTAAGCAACGGGTGCTGCCGAGGATGATGAGATTCCTTCGCGAGTCGCATACTGGGTGTTCTGGCTCCGATCGACGGCGAGCTTGGCCTCTTGGTACCGCTTTAAGGCAGCCTTCTCCTCCTCAGCGGACGGGTAGTGTGGAACAATTTTTGGGGAAGTCGAAGGAGGTGGTGAGGGCGCGGGGCTAACATTCGCGCTGGTATTGGGGCTTGTGTTGGGGTTCTTATTCATGGAGGATACAGCGTGCTGGTAGAGGGCGGCACCTGCTGACAGAGCACTGAAGCTACGAGAAGGTTTCGAGAGTCCAGGCGAGCCATTGGCTTCCGAACTATCTCGGCTGTGGCTCGAGGCACCAAGTGCTTGAGTGCGTTTGGCAGTGGCTTGGGCTTTGTCGAACAGACGAATTTTCTCCTCTTCTGCAGTTGGCCAGGCAGCACGGAACGAAGGAGAACCTTTCTGTTGTGAGGACTACAACGAAGATTAGCGGAGAAGATTGGAATGTTAACCGGTATCTACTCACTGTTTCACTGGATTGTGGGGCCATGACAGCACTACCTTGGACCTGCTCAACCTTAGCCCTTGCACTCTCATACAGCTTCCTCTTTTCTTCCTCGGCGGAGAGCCACGAACGTTGACCCCTTATCGACGGCGTCGTCGACTGTTGTTGTCTGGCAGCTAACTGTGCTTGTTCCACAGCCTCCCGTACTTCTGCATCCCGATCGCTGATATTAGTGATTGTGAGGCGGTTTTGCGTCCCTGCAGCAGCCGAACCACGTCGTCTACGGCCCGAGCCACCGACAGGGCGCACGACGAGAGCGCTGTCTTCCTGAATGCTACCCATGGGAATTTGCGCTGATGAGCTGTAGCCTGGGTGGTCTATTGTGCCTGGCACACGCGACTGGTGACTCTGAAGAGCGCCGATCTCATCCACTTCAAGATCGTCGTACTGGATATCACCATTGTGTGCGTTGGGGGTAGTATTGTACTTGATGGATGAGACCGGAGGTGTCAAGGGTGTGCGCCCATGCCCTTGAGCGGAGGAGTTGTAATCAGAAATCTGTGAGTTGGCGGTGAGAGGGCGAGCCAGGGCCGTGGATGCAGTGCTTGATGGGGTCATACAAAGGCTGGGGGCGACACCGATACGCCTGAGATGTTTTTAGTATAGATCAGTCGTAACGGCGAGGACTGCGTACCTAACAGCTTCCTCGGACACGCTCCTGTATCTCAGTTAGGTATATATTATAGAATATTAACTGAAGTCCTTACCTTGGCCAGTTCGAGACAATAACAGGAAGTTCTATGAAAACTGCCTGCATCGAACCAAACCACGCCTTGACTAAGATTGTATATGTTATGTCAATGTGCCTTGCAGCGTTGAGCGTGGTAGTAGTATGTGTGTTTGGGATCAAACACCCAAGTTCCGCCTTGTGCTGCGTGCCACCAAACAACGTGACATTGAGAGGCACCTTTTGCTCGCCAACCAGCCCAGTTTTGACTTGGGGACCATTGCGTTTGCCAGTCTGGCCAGACTGAGTACTAGCACGAAATATGGTTGTTTCCTTGAGAGAAAACTCGAATCCACGGACAATAACTGGATGCACCGAGTCGGATTTGAGGATAGCCATGACAGACACGCGGTCGCCTGGTCCAAAGCATGTTCGTTGGCGTTCTACTGTGAGATGTACACCCTCTTGGTTGACGCTGCGTGATTCTGCTTGTGCGTATACAGGCCACGTTGAGTGGAGTTCATGCTTGTCAATAATGATAGTGGTGGCTTGTGATGTTACAACAGTTTTACGGCGGCGGAAGAAACCTCTGCAGATAGCAAGTCAACCCACGCGACTCAAGATCTAATTTGGAAGACCCACTTCTTCCCAAGAGTACAAACAGTCGCGACTAACTCATAGCGGATACCAGCTATGCAAAGAGACACCATCAGATAACAAACATTGTGTTTGCGCAGCCACTCACCGCCTCTTTCAAGGGCAATGCTTGGTGGAATGGACTCAGGTATACGAATATGGAATGGGAGGTCTTGCTATCGCTAGCTCTCAGCGCCCGACATGTTTACACAGGGATGGATACACCACTCACTGACTGCAATAGCCCGTATTCTTCGCTCGACTGCCATAGGTTTATCGGACTCGAGCCAACAAAATCAAAGTAAGAGTTCGTCTGGCCACCGCCAGGGAGTGTTTCGATCTTCTTGAGCTCGACACGGACCCATTTTGCTTTGACGCCCTGAGGCCCCACGCGCACCTCGACGGCCTGACAGATATAAAAAGCCAACTCATTTGTTATGTAGAGCGAGCACGTACACCTTTGACTGCCGCTTGAGGACGATCTTTCGCAGCCGGTGGTATCCCAGGATAGCCTAGCAGTATTGTGTCGTAAAAAATGGTCAAGCATGACAGATTTTGCACTGACCGACGACAAAATCGACATTTGGGGGTGGCTGAAGCGCACTGAAAGTAGTTGTTGAGTGGCGGCACTAGTAGGAATCGGAGGACTAACATCTTCACTTGCGACATTCCTCGAAGAATATGATATCCGACACAAGAGAGAGAAACGAGTGGAAGGGGAGGTGCCGCGTGCCTAGCTCAAAGCACTGTTTAACTGCAAGCAGATTTATCAGAGCTGACAACTACCTAGGCGCCGAAATGCACAGCCTACTCTTCACACAACCTTGACATTACTAAACCTATGGCATCGGATCATCATTTCCATCAAATATCAATGCCTAGGCACCATTCATAACTTAAATCAGTAACTTCATGAAGATGAGACAAAGAGATATAATGATAAACGGATACTACAAGCCTGCAGGAAAACAACAAATGTACAAGGAATAGCGCAGACGCTGGAAACCAGATCAAAACTTGAATTCCTTGCCCTTCTTTGAATCCCGCTCGCGATCCATCTTTTGTTTCTTCTTCGCCATCTCCTTCGCCACCATATCTGAGAAGTCTTCTTTTGATCCCGCTACTCCCGCCGAACCTCGTGAATGTTGCTCGTACTTTCGTCGTAGCTCATCCTCCGTCATGCCTTCCATCTCGCCTGCGTCAATAGAAATGTCGACACCATTCGCCTTACGCTGCAACAGTGATCAATATCTTTATTGGAATATCTGAAAGACTATTTTGACGTACTTTCGTTCCCCGCTCCTCCCCAAGCACGGGAAGGTTTTGCGGATTGGTGACTTGACTGACGTCATACCCACGCTCGCTACCCATGAGCCCGCGCACGGAGGTCTGTTTCTCCGGTACAACCTGATACAGTGACCGTGGTCCACTTTCTGAAGCGTCTGATGATGGATGCCTAGACGACGTCTTCCGCAGCTCCAAGAAGTCGGGTGTTTCAAGTCCCCCAGCGACAGTGGAGACAACGCTGGCCATGCCGGATGGCGTTTCCAGACCGGAAGGTGTCTGAAGGCCGTCGACTGGTGCTCCTTCAGCAGTTTCTTCCTCGTCCTCCTCTTCCGTTTCTTCTTCTTCCTCTTCCTCCTCCTCTGGAGGTTTTCTCAGCATTTGCGACAATAAGAATGATATAAATAAACTTGCCTTCCTCCGGCTCTAGCTCTCCCCATGTATTCTTGTCAATTGGCTCACCAATCTGTGAAGAATAGTGTAAGAGAAAGGCACTCGAAGAAAACTCCCTCACGTACGTTCGTATCGGTGACTTTCGGCAACACACCAAACACATCGCCGTACAAAGGGCGATTATACTCATCCAACGGTGGCTTACCCCATCCACCAGGATGGAAACCCCATTGAGCGCTTAAGAGGTGATCAATGACTTCGGGCTCATCGAAATGCGTCACACTCACCCCTCAGGTATGGGCGAATTGAGACCAGGAATCCGTAAAGTCGGGTAGCTCGGAGGAGGTCCAAATCTTTGCATGCTAATTAGCCAAGGTGGAGGTGCGAGTGGCGGAATCGATAGCGCTTCAACAAGCTCTGGCGACAAATCTCCTGGTCGTTTCTCTTTCAACGACGTTTCAAACTCCTTCCCCTCATAGTACCTAACAAGCAAATGAATAAGCGAAAGTGGAATGAAAAGGATTAACATTTTACATCTCACCAAAGCCAGTAACCACTGGCTTTGTTGCAAACTTGAAGAAGGCATCGTGCAGCTTTTGATAGTCGATGTCGACCTTGCCCATCTTTGGCTGCACCCGCTCACGAGTTTTGGCCTTTAACGACATGTTAGCCTCCTTCTCTTTAACTGCGTCTCTCATTGTTGCGATACCCGTATCTGCTATATACGAAGGGAGCTGGAAAGGCGGCTTCTCGATACCGCGTTTTCCTTGCAGGTAATCTCGTTTTGCACTCCAGTGCGCAGGAACAGGAGCGGTATTACGGTAACTCTTGAGATGGAGCAGTAATCTTGGGTCAGCGGCTGAAGGATCTGTCCATTCGACTGCCTCGGGTTTCGCTACCAGTTGCTTAAGCTCTGCAATCGTCAAACGGGCCATCTTGCGTTGTTTCTTTTTCGAAAGAGGTTTCTTCTCCTCTGCGTCTGAACCGGCGTCTGATTCCATATCATCGTCTGAGTAGATAACCTCCCCTTTTGTGGGTTCCGAATCCTTTGCCTAGATATTGCGTGAACTAAGGGAGGGAGTGGGTGGACATTACGTGACGCACCTCTGCATAGTCCTGAGGAGCCTGGAAACGTGCAAAAATGTCGGAGAAGGCCACAAGAGCTGGATCTTTGACATCCAACTGCTCAATCACGTACTCGACATTGCCAAATGACCCATCCTCCTCTTGCTTCACCGTTTCAGAGTTCCCATTAAGCTCCTGCAGCCACAATTCAATTCCATAAATGAACTGTTTCGAATTCAGACTGAGATGTGAAACGCACAGGTGTCGTTTGAGTGGCAAGGATTTTCTTTTCTTTTGCCTTTGCTCGCCGAAGCTGGTTTTTGGATTTAATGGCCTTTCCGTTGGCATTGGATTTGGTAGCTATACCATTGACTGCAGTAGGCATTCTGCGCAATTTCTCGAATGCACTTGAGAATTATGGGAGAGCGAGAGGACCTTCGAAAGCACTTCAAGGCTTCGAGCTTCAAACCTGGAGACTTGTCGTCGGAGGTTGGGGCGAAGACACACGAGTCGATAATTAGGTAATTTAGAAAGGGTGGTGTAATATATTTATTATTAGCAGTGGGGGGTCGTGACTCGTTGCTCACTTGATATACCCTCCGCTCTGCTCTAGTACGGCCCACTTTATTCAATATAAATTCAACATCGAACTTTTAAACATGGACTTTTGAGCTATTCAACATCTGCAGCGATGTTTATCCTACATGCCATCTGCCCTCATTAATCATAGATTGGCTGGACCCAGCATGCCTTTCCACACCTTGATCGTGTCTACGGTGACAAGAAGCTCAGACATCAACACACAAGGAATGGGTGTCTTTCACACTGCGAGTGGAGAACTCAGAAGACTGTCGGAGATCTTGACTTCAATGTTTCCCTGATCTCTACCTTCAGACTACTTTTATCAGTCTCCCATAGGCAGACCAGATATCAAGAAGACAGTCGTTCCCTCATAAAAGATTTCTCCAATTTGCAAGTCAAGTCAAGTCATCTATTAACCGACCGTGCCTAGGCGGTCCAAATACGCGAGTGAAACGCTACGCCAGAGGAACCCTTCGTGGCCTGCCAGTCCGAGTCATCCTTCTGTATCATATCATGAGTGCACCGGTGTCAGACCATCGAATGAGATCGCGGTTTGAGGGGTCATTGACCATGCTATAAAGCAAGATGGCTGCAGGGTGTCAGGACTACAGCATCTGTGTGTGTTATAATATCTGGCAAAAGACGGGCACGAGCTGACGTGCTGGTTTGTTTAGATGCGACGAGTTACCGCCAAATGCATTTGTTGGTCTGTGCTCATATTCAAGTTGTAGTCGATGTACTAAGAGATGAGAGTGACTTGCGTTTGACAATCACAATTTAAAAGAGCCAGCACATCAAAACGTTCAAACGATAACATTCGTTACATAAATCACGCACACGGCGCGCTTAAATTCCAATGCAATAATTTTGTACATATATGTCAGCAGTAATGTGAGTCATGTATCCTACAAACCATATGGCTCCCGCCGTCTGACACACTTGGGTTGTGGTCTCTTCCATTCCCCTTTGTTTGGGTCTGGCCATAAAGAAGCACCGTTGTCCGGGACCATTGGGCTTGAAGTGGTCCACCGGGAGTCGGGAAAAACCCAAACGGCCAGGTAGGCAAATAGCACATCTCCTACACGACGAGGTCAGTCATTTCGCAAACAAGCAACTTGATTGTGTTACCTCGAAACCACAGGCCGGTCGACACTTCACCCACACGCTCCAGTCCAACCAGGAGATTAACTGTGTCACATCCTCCTTCCACTCGCCTATGAGAGCATGTATGTGATCATCTTCAGGGCGTTGTTCCGGAGGATAAAAGGCGTCGACTCCAAAATTCATCCCGGAAGCCCACATCTTCGTGACGACGCGGCATATTTCATGCGTAGTTTCCCGCACCGCCTGCAGGAGCAAATGTTCGGAGGGCGTCAATGTTGTTCCACGAGACGCGATGGAGGCCGCGTGCGACGTCGCACATTCCCGAAAAACTGGCGCAGCCCACGAATTTGTCGCGTTGGCGGTGACGGAGGTATTGGGAGGCAGGGCTGCAAACACAGTGTAGGGAAAAAGCACGGTGCGCAATTGTCTCTGAATTTGTTGTGCGTGGTCAAAGATCGACCCATCGTCCAACGTCAAGTTTAAAAGGTGCTGTATGAACTCTAGGCGGCTGGCATATCGATCGACCACCACGCGCAAGACTGTTTTCCAGTCAAAGCCGCTAGTGGTCGCAGGTGGTCGTGCTAACGCTTGGGCTAGCCTGTCTTGGACGCTCTCTATATCCTCCGGTGATATTCCTGCCACTCGGTGATCCCACCGGTCCAAGCCTACACGGCGCGACACCAAGGATGGAACAAGAGCGGTGTCGTAGAAAGAGACAAGCCCAGAAAAATCAAGCATAATCCGGGTTTCTCCTGGGTAATTTTCGCGCCATGAAGCAGAATGCATGAATTCAAAAATGTGACGTACTGATGTCCGAGAATAAATCAGACCTACATCAAAACATGAACACAAGCGCTCACTAGTATTGAGGCCCTCTGGTGGCGGGTCGGTGCTGATCCCAATGCGCATGCTCTCGAGATTTAAGAACGAGACGATCTCCATGTGAGAGGTGAAGTTACAGATCATGATTTCACTATGACCGTCGTCAATAACAAATCACCAAGGAATAGTACGTATGGATTCGCACAAATTCATGTCCATCCTATGATTCACAAATCAGCATCAGGCATTCACGCGCACGCATCTCAACATCCAACAAACCTCACAAAGCCGTTCACGCCATACTTCTCACCCCATTCACACAGATCCTTTATGCGCCGCTCTTCATTCCACACCCACTTGGGTTTCATTTCCGACCATGCCACGAGATCTTGGGTGTCCATAGTGCCCTCAAGAAGTCTCGCAGCGCTGCTTCCGTCAAAATAGAGCACTTTCATCGGCCGAGTGACTGCAAGGGTGAGGTGCCAGCACCCTGTTTCAATTGGCCCTTTGCAGAAATATGTGGAGTGGTCTGGCTCTACAGCCACCCAATCCAGGGCGGTCGGTAAATGGGGACCGGAGAGAGCTCCATGGTAGAGGATAGTGCCTACAGGAATAGTCCCTGGGACTATTGTATGACCTGCAGGCAAATGATCAGTCGCGACCCATCTGTTGAAGCTCAGTATTCTCAAACATACCAATACGATGACGAGTATTTGGCCAGTGTTGAAGCAGGGAATTGGCCGTTTCGAACACCAGATGTCCTGTCGCGTTCACCGCAGGTCCTTCGTCAAGGACCCATTGTCCAAGATCATTTTCGACCCCCGGGTGAAAGGATGAAGGCGTATGACTCGACACGGGTATCTGTGCAGTCAGAACCCGTTCAAAGGCAAGGAAAAGCCAGACGCCGGCTGCGGCTTTCCTCGTAAACAGCATTCCGACGAAGGGTCAAGGGCCCGTTGTAAGCTTACTAGTTATATACTCAGCGAGTGCATCCATTTTGATTTCCTTTACGCAACCCTTTCCGCGGCTAGTCCTAATGGGCGAATTCGATAGCGGTTGAGATAGCAGTTTTCAATGTTCATTTTCTATAATTTAGAATTGTCTTCCAGCCATCAGATGATCGATGATAGGAATAATGATAGAAAATTGACCCAATATTGTTTCCTGAATTGCGATGTAGAATACTTATGGCCCCGGGTGGTGATGCATCGACGGGCCTGGACAAAACTCAGGCCAGGCTCGGGCTCGGCTCAGGCGGCCCATTTGGCCTAGCCTACGAGGGCTTGGCCCAAAGGGCCTCAGGCTAGGCCCAATGCATCACTACACATTATGAGTGCACCGGTGTCAGACCATCGAATGAGATCGTGGTCTGATGGAGAGCTGTCACGTTGACAGCTAACACTAAACGGTCGATCAGACAGAGGTAACGTGGATGAGCGTATGGATTCGGCGGTACGGTAAGAAGATAAAGATGTGTGTACAGGGGCGACGAGGTTTATATATCTAATGGTCCAAATAAAGAACAACAGCCCGCGGTGGCCAATCATGACAAGACGACGTCATACGTGGTAAGCAATATGCTTACATCTGAGGAGTCATTTAAATTGACCATGCTATAAAGCAAGATGGCTGCAGAATGTCAGGACTACAGCATCTCTGGTGTTATAATATCTGGCAAAAGACGAGCACGAGCTGACGTGCTGGTTTGTTCAGATGCGACGAGTTACCGCCAGATGCATTTGTCGGTCTGGGAGTCGATGTAAAAGACGAGAGTGAGACTTGAGTCACTTGAGTTTGACAATCACAATTGTAAAGGGCCAACGCATCAAAACGTTCGAACGATAACATTCGTTAAAGTACATAAATCACGCGCGCGGCGCGCTTGAATTCCAGTGCAATAATTTTGTACAAAAGACGTGTATATGTCAGCAGTGATGTGAATCATGTATCCTAAAAACTATATGGCTCTCGCCGTCTGATGCACTTCGGCTGTGGTCTCTTCCATTCCCCATTGTTTGGGTCTGGCCATAAGGAAGCACTGTTGTCCCATTGGGCTTGAAGTGGTGCCCCGGGACTCCGGACAAACCCAAACGGCCAAGTAGGCAAATAGCACATCTCCTACACGACGAGGTCAGTCATTTCGCAAACAAGCAACTTGATTGTGTTACCTCGAAACCACAGGCCGGTCGACACTTCACCCACACGCTCCAGTCCAACCAGGAGATTAACTGTGTCACATCCTCCTTCCATTCGCCTATGAGAGTATGTATGTGATCAGCTTCAGGGCGTTGTTCCGGAGGATAAAACGCGTCGACTCCAGAATTCATTCCGGAAGCCCACATCTTCGTGACGACGCGGCATATCTCATGCGTAGTTTCCCGCACCGCCTGCAGGAGTAAATGTTCGGAGGGCGTCAATGTTGTTCCACGAGACGCTATGGAGGCCGTGTGCGATGCAGCACATTCCCGAAAAACTGGCGCAGCCCATGAATTTGTCGCATTGGCGGTGACGGAGGTATTAGGGGGCAGAGCTGCAAACACAGTGTAGGGCAAAAGCACGGTGCGTAACCGTCTCTGAATTTGTTGTGCGTGGTCAAAGATTGTCCCATCGTCCAACGTTAAGTTCAAAAGGTGCTGTATGAACTCCAAGCGGCTGGCATATCGATCGACCACCACGCGCAAGACCGTTTTCCAGTCAATGCCGCTAGTGGTCGCGGGTGGTCGTGCTAACGCTTGAGCTAGCCTGTCTTGGACGCTCTCTATATCCTCCGGTGATATTCCTGCTACTCGGTGATCCCACCGGTCCAAGCCTACACGGCGTGGCACCAAGGATGGAACAAGAGCGGTGTCGTAGAAAGAGACAAGCCTAGAAAAATCAAGCATAATCCGGGTTTCTCCTGGGTAATTTTCGCGCCATGAAGCAGAATGCGTTAATTCAAAAGTGCGATGCACTGATGTCCGAGAATAAATCAGATCTACCTCAAAACATGAACACAGTCGCTCACTAGTATAGAGGTCCTCTGGCGGCGGGTTGGTGCCGATGCGAATGCGAATGTTCTCGAGATATAAAAACGAGACGATCTCCGTATGAGAGGTGAAGTTGCAGATCATGATTTCACTATGACCGTCGTCAATAACAAATCACCAAGGAGCTACGTATGGATTCGCACAAATTCATTTCCATCCTATGACTCACGAATCAGCATCAGGCATTCGCGCGCACGCATCTCAACATCCAACGAACCTCACAAAGCCGTTCACGCCATACTTCTCACCCCATTTACACAGATCCTTTATACGCCGCTCTTCATTCCACAACCACTCGGGTTTCATTTCCGACCATGCCACGAGATCTTGAGTGTCCAAAGTGCCCTCAGGAAGTTTCGCAGCGCTGTTTCCGTCAAAATAGAGTACTTTCATCGGCCGAGTGACTGCAAGGGTGAGGTGCCAGCACCCTATTTCGATTGGCCCTTTGCAGAAAAATGCGGAGTGATCTGGCTCTACAGCCACCCAATCCAGGGCGGTCGGTAAGTGAGGACCGGTGATAGCTCCATGGTAGAGGAGAGTGCCCACGGGAACAGTCCCTGGGACTATTGTATGACCTGCAGGCAGATGATCAGTCGCGACCCATCTGTTGAAGCTCAGTATTCTCAAACATACCAATACGATGACGAGTATTTGGCCAGTGTTGAAGCAGGGAATTGGCCGTTTCGAACACCAGATGTCCTGTCGCGTTCACCGCAGGTCCTTCGTCAAGGACCCATTGTCCAAGATCATTTTCGGCCCCCGGGTAAAAGGATGAAGGAGTATAACTCGACAGAGGTATCTGTGCAGTCAGGACCCGTTCAAAGGCAAGAAAAAGCCAGACGGCTGCGGCTTCCCTTGTAAACAGCATTTCGACAAAGGGTCAAGGGCCGTTGTAAGATACTCAGTGAGTGCATCTATGAAGTTACTTATGGTTTGATTTCCCTTTACGCAACCCTTTATGCGGCTAGTCCTAATTGGCGAATTAGATAGTGATTGAGATAGCAGTTTTCGATGCTTACTTTTCTAGAATTCATGATTGTCTTCCAGCCATCAGCATATGATCGATGATAGGAATAATGACGGAAAATTGACGCAATGTTGTTTCCTGAATGGTTGTGCACAGCGACGGATCGTGGGGTACTTATGATTATAGGTACTTAGTCTGCCGTCACGGTAGTCAGATGTGGAAGGACGATAATTAATGTCAATGATACTTGCTTGTTTGGTTTGAAATTCTCCTTTTTTATCTAACGTCGTGGTCGATTCTTTCAGTATCCAAGTTTTGCGTGCGCTCCAATTCTGAGACGTCTGATAATTTTCGACTGAGAAACCTCGTTCATAAAGTCCAGCAATGTTATGCACCTCTTACTCGTTAGTCTAGCAAGCACTATATACAACCCTGCATCCGTCACTTGTTCCTGATGGCCCAACAACAACTCGGATTCTTTGCAACACAACAGAAAAAAATGTCTGAATGAAGATGAAATGTATCCATTCCATCGAATCATCATGCATTCGAATGCGAAGGCGAACGCGTCTGAAGTTCAATATTTGTCAATCGAGAGTGTGATGTGGTTCCGGGCTCAGGGGAGTGGTGAACGGTGTTGCAAAACTGTAGGTGCATCCGAGTCACGAGGATCGTATGCATGACGATCTGAAATGTTGCAAACATATTTGAGGAGTTAAACTGCGTCAAAAAAGTATCAGGACCCTCAGCCGACATTGAGTTGTTGGATTCTGGTTTCTACACACCGGTAGCCATTGATTGGTTAAAATATTGAGCACCGATAGTGCTAGGATTGAAAAATTAATTCTGTTTTGATAGTCATGAAGGTACTACTTGCTTAGCCCAGTTCCGAAGTAAAAAATGTTGTGTTGTACAAGGATATCGAGCAGCAGACACCCTCTTTCGCGGTATGCCCAATATACACGAATCATGGTGAGTACCATGATCTCTGAGGCAAAAAGTGAGGACTCGACTACATTTATGGCTTTGTGATCTCACCAAGTTCGAATGCTGCTAGAAGTGACCAATTACATGCAGCCTTAGTGTTGTGGGATAGTGAGCGACAACCGCCACCTATGTCTGATAGGTGGACTGTCGTATACATTGAGCGATTTACATGTGGCTCTTCTTCAAGACACTCACTTTTCGAATGTTTCCAACCCTTCAGCGCTATTACCACGTTCAAGATCGCCAGGCACTGGAGTGGGGTGTGTCAGAGTACAGAATGCGGGAACGCAACTGTATGCGCACGAGTAGCGTTGACAACATAAGGCCCAGAATGAATCTCTTATGTCCCCATAATGCATAGGTACGAAGGATGAAAATACCTGGAGATCCTGTGAGTATTCTGCGTGAATACACTATAAACATTGTGATACCTTCTGCACCAGCCATACACAATGCAACAGTACCTGAGGGAGGAACTTGAAGCGGGACTGGCAAATTCTATCGTTACAATACTTACAATACCACATTGACTGTAGAATGTCACAAGTCTACATAGGCGAATCCTCAGGATGGCACATGACACTGTTTCCGACTGATGCTCACCACAATTTTTTCATTTGGGAGATAGTTCACTTCAGTATCCTGATTAGCTGCAAGTTGACGATAGTGCATGCGATCTGGACTCACTGCATAAGTGTACAGGGAGCATCGAGGCTGGTATGTATCTCGTCATGATATAAAGAATACTTCCTTTGCTCCACCGTGGCCGATGAATCAAAGATACCTATCCACAACAATTAGCCTGTCGATAGACATGCTATCATATCTCGCAAAGATGAAATCACCTCCTGGTCCAAGGTTAGGAAACAATCGTAGACCTGTGACGAGATTATTATGAATGACGACTGGACGAACGGCAAGAACACGCACCCAAGAAACCATTAGTGATGCTAGCGCAAACCCTGTTAGCTATGAGAGATTGTTATGGTCGAAATGATGGCACCCAAAAAATACTGCCAGTGCCAAGATTATAGATATGAGTGAAACGAAGATGTCAACAAATGAGTCACTTACGTTCTGGGACTGGAGGAGGGTTGAGAGATGAATGAAGGTTTGTGGATCCATGTTTAACAGAGTCGAATGGAGGCGCTAGTATCGAGCACGGCGCCGCGCCTGGTAGGCAGAATATATAACAATTCCAATCAGGGTCAAGCGTGACTCATCAGGCCTTCAGCAACAGCACCATGCCAATCAAGGTTCGACCGGTCAAAGATCTTTGACTGCTTCAAGGCACCTCAGCACGATAGAACGCAGAGTATCAAACAGTGTCACGGACCTCATAAGTACTCAGGGCCTCAGCACCCCGCGTAATGATACCATAAATTTCAAATCCTGCGGGTCGATTTCCTATCATTCCACGTAATATGTCTACGATTGCCGTTAATAAGCAAAAAGTTCATAACAATTCAACGGCATGCTCACCTGACACTGAAAAAAAATCCAGGCAGATGTGACAGAGCGCCTAGAAATGATGTTTCGTACAAGTAGAATAAAAGATATGAGTTCTGGACGGGAGGAGGGAGCGTTGGACTATGAATGCGAAGGTGGGGGAGTGGAGCCTGATCTTGTGGTGAGGAGGTGAAGGAGACGAAGGTATAGACCCTGTGTCTGAGCCTGAGCCTGTGAGTGTTGTTTCCAAAGCTGGGACCTGAGTTTACTGATGCCAAAGCTACTTTCAACTTCCAATAGAAGACTTTCGTTGCAATAACCTACAACGAGAGATCACGTAGTGGAATAACATAAGTGTGCGAATAAAAAGCAACCCATCACTTGTACTTAGTATTAGTGTTATATGATTCCGAAAGGAGAACGATAGTCGACGTATTTGCATTCCCCGACTCCACTTTAGTGGAAGATTATCAAGGCTGAGCGAGCGCTGAGCGCTGAACACTCCGCTCGTAGTTCGGCATCAACTGTTCTGCACAATGTCACACTGTCACCTCACGTAATCCCGAAATGGCGACTGGCCTAGACGCGGACCGCGTTCTTAGCGCCTGCTGCAGTAAGAGTCTGTCAGCTAGGGCAAGAGGAACGCTAGACTCGGAATGGCGGGGATGTCAACGGTTTTGAACCTGCGAAAAGATATGTCACACGACTGCAACCGCGTTCAATGACCGGCCAGCTGCATCCAGTGACCATGACCCACTGGTATTTTACGGTTGGGGGAGGACTAAATGGGGGTAGGAAGCTTTAGACCTCAGGCCCCAAGTCTCGTGGCCTTCAGCACATCGGAACCCTAAACCGACTCACCGAGTTTTTTTTGCGGTCGTTTCCGAACCGAAAAGGGATCTGTAGTTAAACGTTAATGATCAGTCTGACGTACGGAGCCTAATCTGTAGTGTAAAGATGATTTTGAGGAGTGACATCCGGGCCCCGGGGCCGGCTCGGGGGTGGGCAGAACCATGTTCTGCCAGTGTGGCAAGAATATCACAAGGAAAACTTTTGATGGTACTCCAAGTAATCTATGAGACCACTAGATGACGAGTCCAAGTCCTGCAAGTTGCATTGTAATTCCATAACCATTCTCTCGTCTACCACTGTTGCCGGCACTACTAGTCCCTCGTCAACATGCGATGGTTTCGCAAAGTCGAATGCTCTACTTTCGTATCGCATCCCAGTCCAAGGCAAATTCTCCGTGCATCGTTCTTCCCCATCACAAATGTCTTCTAGTCGAGCGAACTCATTATTGATATTGTCAAGTGAGATAAATTCTGGACCTCCGAGATCGTAGCTGACGTCACGGGAGACTTGCAACTTGCAAGGGATGGAACAGTTATAAAATCGGTCTCAAGCTACTCCTGTAATAAGCTCACATGCTAGAGATGATGGCTCCTGATAGCGGTCAGTAGGATGTCATGAAGGGATCGGTTGAATGAGATACTAACCAACGAAATGTGATCGAAGCCGGCTGCACTATTTTCGACAAGGAAATTGAAAGGACGGCCTCCTGGCAGACTTAGACATCGTAGAGAGCCTGAAGTATCCCGATTTCTGCCCACAACGATAGATGTCTGCGAGTCGCCAGAGGAGGGCTTTGCTGCCTTAGTGAAGTAAATTAAATGATGTTAATTTGGAGAGGAGAAAGAATTGGAATCACGAGAGAACAGCAAAAACTGGCAAAAATAGTTGGTTGGTGGTAGCTAAAGTAATAAAACATCTCTCAAGACCTAGCAAGTAGTGGAATTAAACCAGTCTAATGACTGTTGGATGACTGGGAAGTTGCGGGAGTGCTGGAAAGTACAGTTTGATGTGATTTGGTATAGAAAAAATGTTGGTGCATTTAGGATTAGTGCTAGAGGGTGCAATTAGTGATAGTGTTTGCGAAAGGTGAAGGGGGCGATGAACGGTATGAATTCTGGGTGTAGCTTGTCGGTGTGTCCTGGTGTTGAGCGTTCGATGTCGCACTGCGAATAGGTGATGAAGATCAGTGCCTGTGAGAGAAGTCAGCAAAGGCAAGGATAGTGAAGCATACCACAACATGAATGGAAGAGTGTTCACGTTCATAGCTCGTTGACGGATGAGGTCGATGTCAATTGGTTTGAGCTGAAAGGAAGGTGTCAGTTCGCACAACTGCAACATGCACGGACACGCACTAATGTGTGGAGACAAGATATGGCAGCAGGTTTTAGGAAGTGGGGGATTGGTGCTAGCTCGTGTCGTCCGTCGTCAGTGAAAGCAGCGGAGCGGCGGAATTAGAAGCAGACTGATGATGGTCATTCAAACCGTTTGCGGGGACGAGTTGAGAAAAATTAGGAGAGAGATTGAAAGCTATTGGGAATAAAGCATATGCAGTCAATCTGGGAGTTAGATGTATGGGCGGCGAAGGACACGCGACAGTTCGAGTTAATTCAAGATCATCGCGAGGTTGTCGTCGACAGTGAAGATTGTCAGGACCGCGGGACGTTCCGCTAGCTTAGGTGTCGGGGGCCTAATTACCTATGGTTAGACCGCTTGACCACCGCCTTGCGCACAGAAGCCGGTTATAACCGGTTATCCACCCCATGCACAAGGCAATACTATCATATTGCAGAGGTCCCTTCATCTCCTTGTGATAATCCTCGTCTTCTTAAACACCATCTTAACCATGCCTGCAAGCAAAATTGCAGTGAACGTTTCTCAGGGTATCGCGACGATAACCTTGAATGAACCTCACCGTCTGAATGCGCTGACACCAGAAGGTTTGTGGTGTGCTTGAGCAAACCACGCTGGCTGAGCAACCATCGACTCGCAGACTATAACGAATTTGCCAACTCTTTACGGGCCATTGATAAAAGAGAAGATGTAGTAGCAACTGTATGGAAAGGTAAGCAAGTTTCCACGTTTCCAAATTTGTGGCAGTAGTTTTCATCTTTGCATCTTTGCACAGCAAATGGGAAGTGGTTCTGTGCGTAAGTTTGCAGTCCACGGAGCAAGCGTTTCGTTACTTATAGTGCTTGTTTCGGAAAGTGGCACGGACGTGAAGCGCACGACAAGCAGCGATCCGAACACTCCGGCCACTCAGCGCTCGATGAGGGATTGCCTCATCAATGGGGTAGTGGCCGCGAACACAGATTGCACACATGCCGTACGTCGCAATCCTTACTTTTTCATAGTATTGCCGACCGACTATTCCTATCACGAAAGATTTATAGTCACAGCAAAATCCTTGTTGCAGCACTGAATGGGCCGGTGATGGGTATGCAACTTCTTTCTAAATGTCTCGCAAGCGGCTCAAGTGACGACCTCGAGGTTAGGCATAGCAGCTGGTACGTTCACCATAAATGTTATACGTGTCATCTCAAATAGGTTCCCGTAGCTTTCCTTGGCAACTTTGATTTCATATATGCCGTACCAGAAGCCTGGTTGAATGTCGGCTTCCCATTCCTAGGTTCGCCCGTTTGATTGTTTTCTTCTATACACGCTGAAGACATGTACTCTTCAAGGCATTGCGGTGGAAGGAGGAGCTAGTGTTTCATTTGTCAACCGCAGTAAGCGAATTCATTGTCGTATGACTTTTTCTCATAATATTGTCAAGTGGGTATCGCCAAGGCAAACGAGGTTCTCCTTCTTAATAAGAAGATTAGCGCATCAGAGATGCTTGAATGTGGATTCGTCAAGTGCGTGTTCCCGTACCCGATTTTTCCTACCCCATCCTGATGATGATTTAGCAAAATATTTCCATCGAAATCAACAGAAGAATTCCACTCTGCAGTTCATCAACATCTCAAGAAGGAACTCGATGGTTTAGTCCCTGCCTCTCTTTTCGCCATCAAAACCCTCATCAAAGCTGGTTTGAACGATAAGAACAACTTTCACGCCGTGAATCTGCGAGAGAGTTATGCCCAAGCGGAAAGATTTAGTAGCGGAATACCTGCTGAGCGCTTCGGCAAGATTGCCAGGAAAGAAATCAAGCATAAGTTGTGATCTATGTATGTATATTTGTCTTGCGAGTCTTGTCACCAACCAGCGCACCTGACTGACCAGTGACCACATGCATACCTGGCTATTTTAGTCGTATACCCCCTACAACAGGAATGTGGCAATTTGTATGCAAGGAGATTCCGAGGAGATGCAATATATTTGCGTGGTTCATTTTTTCAATATCTTTGCAGTGATTGTGATTCCCGCTCTCAAGACTATCATGACCGGCAGCCGCCTGAGTTGGTCCGCTACTGAACGCATGGACGAGAAGTTTTTTCATGTGGAGGATCTACAAGACCCACACGAGAGCACGCTGCCATACTGACCGAGACGCAGCTAAGCGGGACTATCGGCACAGGTTTGATCAATGCAGCTGGCATTGTGATGCAATTGCGCCTATCGAGGTCTGGACAGGTACGAACGCTATCCAACACGTTGGCCTGAAACTCATTCGAGTGAACTTGTAGCCTTGTATATCATTCTCGGTGAGTCGAGCCAACATCTCCTCGAGTCGTCTATTGACATCTCCAGTTGTCATTGTGGACTTGCTTGGTATACAATTTTTCGGAGAATCGGAGTTTTGGATGAGTGGCCTGAAGATCGTATTCCTCGTGGGTTTGGTTCTTCCTGGCATTATTGCCGATCTTGGAGGAAACCCAAAACATGATCGCATTGGATTCCGATACTGGCGCCAACCAAACGGACCCATGGGCAACTGCATCGTCTACCCGGTGCACAATGATCAATTCGCGGTCTTTCTTGGATTCTGGAGCAAGTTAACCACTACGGTGCTTGCACACATCGGGAGCGATTTGGTTGCGGTTACGGCTTGAGAGGCACAGAACCTGAGGAAAATGACTCCCAGAGCTATCAAGTCCACATTTATTCGTATCTTCGTGTTCTATATCGGTGGATATCTGTTATTCTTATCGTGCGGGGCACCGGCATTGTAGGTGAGCCTATTAGGAGACAACCACCGATATGGTACCTTCAATCTATCCACTTTCTAGCATCTATTGGTCGTTAATAACTCGCATGCAGGGGCAGCATCACCCTTCGAGGTTGACAGGTCATTGCGGATCTCCTGATCCATAGAAACAGCCTTCTCATTCCGTTCAGGCGTAACCCTGGCCGGAATCAAAGGCTCAATCATGACATCAATGCGATGATTCTCTTTTTTTACCATCAGTGATATCTATATCGCGTCCTGGACACTCTACGGTTTCGCGATAGAACGAAAGGCGCCGCATATACTCACTAAAGTAAACCAAAAAAGGTGTCTCTGCTCGTTGTAAGTATCGTTATGCACTTGCATAACGTTCCTGAACGCGGGCACTGCAAGCGCTACGGGCGAGTCAACGACTTCATGTCGATCCATACTGGCACCGATGTTCGCATACGGGGTCAACCTCCTCCCTGCATTTGGGGCCACGAACCTGGCCTGGATGACAATCGCTTACAGCCACATGTAACAAGCAGTCGTTCCACTTCGGAAACTATCGTGTGAACAAGTGTGGATGCTGTATACTTCATGCAGGCACTCAAGCTTCAAAGCTTCAAGGCTTAAGGCGTCTCGCGCGATAAGTCTGCCGGATAAGGGACCGCTGGGGTCCTGGTTCGTTCTGAACTTTTGGTTTCAAAGGTAGCCTAGCGTATTCGGTTACGCTAACGTAAGAACGCAGTTTTTTGCAGGGGTTCCATACTTTACGCCCGGACCATTCATCGCTTCGCATTCACGTTCTCACGGTTCTTCACAGTCTTCGATATACTAGATGGTCCCACGAGTCCGTGTGTCCCAAGAGTCCGCGCATTGACTCTAGCACACGCAATTCTGCACAGAATCCTTATCCATGATAGATCTGGATTCGCCCAAACATAATACACACTGCCATATATTTTTTTTGAAGAAAATCGAAGTAGATCTTGTTCCATGGGCAACTTATCAGTGCGAGAGGCATAGAAGGCTCACTCTAAAGGTCAGATCTCCACATATAATTCTGGAATATTGTGAGATGGTTATATACATGATTAGAGAATACTAAAACAAATTTATTCGGGGCACATGCTTGTCAGGATCATCTGCGATAAAGAAATAAGCCCCAGACGTGACAATCTGCCCAAAGCGTTACATAGAGACTGTGTAATCAAAACTCCGCAATGCCGAAATGCTTTACACATGCACAACTTCACAACATTTATAACGGTGCGAATTCTGCGGAGCGTGAAAAGGCATTGCGGCAGACGTGTGACATAGTGTGACAAAGTGCGCGAACTCTAGGGAAAATGCACTTTTCTGCGCGGTAACTCTCCGCTGGACTCAACACGTCAATTTTCGAAAAAGAAACTAGCAGACGTTGTACTTTCGATGTCACGCTATCGAACTGTCAAATAATTAATTTTGTTTGTTTGTGCGATGTGGAGTAATAACCGTTTTGCCAAAAAGGCGCGAACTCCCGTGGACATCTAGTAGGTCGTACTAGTACCTCCTAGTACCGTGTTTTTTTTTCTTTCCGGCTTGGATATCAACTACGTTACCGGATCCGGGTTACGTTCAAGGTCGACCCATCGGCAAACGGGAGTCCGACGAGGAAGAGGATAGATTTATATCGAGCGAAAGGCGCGAGAAGGTAAGATATCGAGATGGCGCGGCAGAAGCTTGCAAATGTGCTGTGAGCACAGCACTATTCACGTATGTTTCAAGTGATCGGTGTCGGTAACAACCAAACTCACCATGCTGCGTTTACTAGTACTGCACAGTCACAGTAGTGTTCACTCACATTTATGTAAATCTGTTCAACGGCAATGGAAATTCAGGGTGCCTCTCAGATAACGACAGATAACAACTATCAACTATTCAGTACTGCACGAGCTGGATAATTCCCTGAACATGTGCATCTGCTGTGGGTCGGACAGGTTTGATGAAGATCCAGCCTACGGGGGAGTCTGTCACACTCACCAACGTTATCTCGCGATACTGATAGCGTCACAGCGCTTCTTCTCATTCAGACGTCATGTCCGCTGTCATCTCATGTGCCCGTTCGAACAGGCCCAACTAGGTTCGAACGCGTACAGTTGATGAGGAGATAACCATTTTCACAGACTGATGTGCTAGTTGATAAACGTGTGCATCTGGTTTGAGTATCTATGTGCCGCCCCGCCCTATCTACGGGGTGTGTACTTTCTTTTGTAGAAGAAGCGCTAACCTGTTATTAATTCCCGTTCAAACGTTGCACGGCCGTGGGTTGATCGGTGGCAGACTGAAACAAATTTCAGCTTCCAATACGGGCGAGGTGCCGTACAGCTCAGACATTATCAATATATCGATTATCAATCATGCCGCCGGAGTCGTGGCCCCTCACACGTAGCTGCTGATGGTGATGGCAAGCTCACAGGTACTGCCAGTCTCGAAAAGATCCATTTGGCAATATGGACTAGCCCCAGGCTGTGCACTGTATAAATTTACACCTCACTGCCCGTCGCTCCGAGGCATTGATTTGACTATTGCTTTCACACAAGCGTCAGCGGACGCTTACGTCGTTGGTCGGCGGCCAAAAAATAGTCGGTTGTGTGAGTAATCATGAAGTGCGGGGAATGTAACACGCTGCGGGATATGGATGCACTTTTAAAATGTACCTGTCAGTATACCAAACGAGGCAGAATTATAATCATAGCGCACCATACGTGGTCGGATTCCCTGAATAGCAAACCCACCAAAGTTGGAAATGATGGAGAAGTGATTAAATTGTAGTAGTACATACAGACTGCATAGTAAAGGTAGGTCGTTGCGGGGAATGCTACAGATGCAAGTATACATAACCGGATCGAGAGGATAACGAAAACAAAGATCCCAGCAAGCCACAGTGGAAAAAAATATCAGTGGGGAGCCGAGGATAAAAGGTTGAACAAAGCGAGCTGATGCGATGAAACTGGCATTAAGTCCTGATGCGGGTGTTTGAATTAGGCAGCGTCACGTCCGGTCCTGTGAAAGTCTCGGGTTGAGGCGTATGCAAATCGAGTAAGACAGTTGCATTGTCATTCGTATTTAGAACGTCGCGTATTGACTTTTCTGCGAGGGAGCACATCTAGGCCAAATGGGTCAGCTTAGGAATCAATTACAGATAGCGTTCCACTAACTCGGCTGTATCCACCTCTTTGAAGAGTTTGCCGTGAGACCGCTATGGCATTATGTATGCTATCATACGCGTAACGCCGCCTGACAAGCAAGCGAATAAGATGGGGCAATGTTCGAAGAATAAAGGGGTGCTTACAAAACACCTTCGAGCTCACGAGGGGACCGAGGTACGATGAATAAGTCAGAACCTGATAGGTAGCGCGTAAATGCTTGATAGGATGCACATCCTGCAACGAGGGTCTCGTTGAATGAAGGATGGTCTTGGTCCCAGGTGAACCAATTTTCGCTGGCATGCCACACAGAGATCAGATCATGCTAGAATCGAAAAAGGAACTGAACGTACGTTAAATGGGTGTGGGCCAATGCCTCTGAAGTGTTTGGGGCAAAGAAGCGATCCATGAAGGCTGAGTTGTGAAATGGGGTAGTACAAGTTGCGTACAAGGAGAGTGATATGAACAAGTTGCGAGGGAAAGGCACAGAGGCTCTGGTTTATATAACAGTTGGCTTTTAGTGGTTACTAATATCTAGTAAGCGGTTGTGGATGTGGCTAGGCGAAAGCGGTATTGTTAGCAACTAGTACTTGTAGTGTGGTCCTGGCGTTTTCCGGGAGAACAGCTTTTTATGAAAATCATTGGTTTCCGTTTTGAGATGGGCCTTCGCACGTTTGAAAAGTACGCGCCCAGGGTCACTAATGACTCAGACCGCGGCTAAATTCATGATCTCCACCTTCTCCACCAATGCCAATTTCTGTCACGTAGTATTTCTGCACAAGCTATTCTAAAAAAGTACTATGAAGGACCTCCGATACACCCGGCTGTGGAGACTTGTCTAGACAAGTCACAGATCATTATCGTCATATCACAAAGTCAACCATTGGCCAGCTATCGTGCCACATCACTGACCCACACTTGGCGGTTCTAGGTTCGACTTGGCAAGTCTTCGAGGCGTTCTCCAGTTCTTTATATCAACTTCGAATTCCTGTATTGTATGGCTATCAGAACCCTTGGCTCCATGGCCAGCTGTTACTTGGCGAGGCTCGGTCTCACAGAAGTTCCAACATTGTGCAGGCCGCCGCAGCTGCTGATCAAGGAACCGCACCTCGCGGCGCCCGAAACAGATATCGATGGCACATCAGTCCATGTACTTACGGTTATGGACTATTCGGTTTTTCATAAACATCGATGTTCAGGCACCTGCCAGTAGTACGGCCGTACGGCTTTGCCGTACCGTAACCCACCCTCGTACGTACTCGTGCCACACGTCAAGATCTTACCTGGTTCTGTCGGCTTCTGCACATATCCTGGACCGTAGGTGAGATCAGTACATACTCATGACCCTGGGGTTCGCAGCATAGCCATAGCACTGTTCCCAACTTCCTATACTCTGCTTCCAGGCTGTCACGAAAAAACAGAAGTCAATCAATCTACGTCCCTTGCACATCTGGACAGCTCACACTAGGCTCTAATTGCATCATTGCGCACGCAGCTGTCACTGAGCGAGGCCAATCGGCCATCGGAAATGACACGCTGATGCCATCAAATCCATGCCATGACACCAGTCAAGGTCAAACGTGTGTTACTGAACGTATAGTCGACGAGTGCTAGTGTGCGCTTGGCGCTGAGGATGACTGAATGTGGAAGATGACGGTTATGATTTGTTATAGCTTCTGTGGATCAAATATCTTTCGTTAATCTGGACCACCTAGATTCCAATAAATATCACTCGATTACTATGGTGCGTGTCACTTATGTGGTCACCGCTGTCCAATTTTATCACCAGGAACAAGCGCGCAATCCACAGTCACCAGGTCCTTCCCCTATTAATCAGGACACCCTATTTCACCTTGCCAACCTTTTTCTACAGCAGTTTGCATATCAAATTTAGTTGCAAAGCGCACAACGTGTGTTTGCGTATGTTTGTTCATGGTACGAAAAGTCCAGTTAATTTACCGCTGTTCTCGATATCGATACAGGTATGGACTTATTGAGGGTGCGAACCCCATACAGCCTGTGGAGCTCTTGTGTGTACAGATCATTTTATCAAATATTGCAAGTATTGACAAGAATACCATCACGCGTAAGCCACATGTTCCCAATCTAGTTGGAAAGGATTGAACGACCCAAGGTAGCCAAAGTGTAATGCTTCGGACGCCTTCGCTTGTTCATACGGTTTGTCATTAGTATTGTTTCTTTCGTCTGACAACTTGATGCCCATAAAATTCCAAGGGCGTTAATTAGTGCTAGCGACAGTGCATCGATCGAGGGCCCCCTTGTCTTTAAAACCAATTGGTTTTGCAATAGGAAGCTGGTGTGGCCGGTGCAGGAGCTTGCCCCCAAAGAAAAGTGTTGCGGCTTTGCTCGACTATCTTTGTAGGCCGCGAGTCCATTCGAGTTCCAATCACTTCCGGATCAAAATCCGCCAGTAACTGGAACTCTGTGTTGCACGATAATCAATATTACTGAAACTTGAAGGGGATATCAAACTGAAACTCGTGACTAGCAAATTCCAGGTTTAATGGATAGATGAGCTCAAGCAAGAAAATAATAGGAAAGGTAGGTGAGTTATGCCATGGAAATTTTGAGGTCTGATATATAACGGCCCAGCGACCCCGGTGGCCATGGGAAACATAGAAGATCTCTTCGAGAAGTCCACCGCGGCCAGTCATTTATCCGGATTGAAGATCTTGGATGGCGCTCTGCAAACTGTAATAGTGCACTCGACTACTTCCGACTTGCAAGCTTCTCTGATGAACTCTATGTATCAGGTTTAACGCGTTCACACCTGAGTATGAATTTACACGCACGCCAAGGTGAATTAGAATAAGTAGCTGAGCGTCCCCTTTAAACGCCGAGTGCCTAACCTTATATAGTACCAGAATACTCTACGTGCGCCGTGCTCGAGCTTCTAGGTCACTGGCAGCCTCCGATATCCCAGTATTTATGGGCTTGCAGCTTGCCTAAGGTATGGGGGCAGCATTGGACAATTGACATGCTGTTCTCCTGGTCCTTAATCAGCACAGACACCTTTCGGGGAACTCGTGTTGATTGATATCGGAAAAGCGATTCTCGAGGGATCAGAATACTATGTAGATCCTGCGCCGTCGGTGTCGGAGGAAGCACGCGAAAGCGGAATCCTTTATTCAGACGGGCACCGTTGCCATCAGGATACTGTTGAAGGTATCCTACCACAGCCTACTACAGCCTGACTTATTCTGGTATACGTAGTAGTAGATATCAATTTCCCACTACGAGTCAGTGACCGATTCAGGGTTGCCCCTAAATTTGGATCGTTGGGCCACTCCTAAACCTTATGTTGGAGCACGTATCAACTAATGACATAGAACAAGATCTGATGAACAAGTTTTGTCTGGGGACCTCGGCTTATACTGGCACTGCCAGTTTCATTTAGCATGAGACACGTGTATTACGGCTTGATGCACCTTTGTCGATTGCGTCCACTACTGTTTTAAAACTTCGAGGAGAAAAGCTTACAGCAATCGAGCCAATACGAGCTCTCGTTATCGATCGTATGACATCATATCGATTCGATTAATATTGTATTTCGAAAGAAGATCAATATGAAAATAAGTATCTCTACAGTGCTAGTCCATTCGGACCGAATATTAATGTTCATTCGCAATAAACCGTTGAAAAAAACTGCCAACGTGTGTCAACGTGAAATCATGAAACGTCATGGTAAAGGAGCTTACCCTTTGTAGAACAAAGAACACTATTACTATGCGTACAAGGGTTCTCACATATTCCCAATCTTACTCTTCCACGTGTGCGCTTTCTCGAATCCATTACGACCCGTTCGGTCTGGATATCAGTGTTGAGCATTTTATCAAATATTCCAGCGAACCGCTCACAGTCCATCAATGTCTTCTGTATTTCCTCCTGATTCGTCATGACAAAAGGACCATACTGGAAAACAGTCTGATCGAGAGGCTCCCCAGCGACCTTTTTCACCGAAAAAACTCAGGAATGGTCCTCTATGAAGGCAGAGTACTTACCAAGACAAACGAAGTGTCGTCAGTTGCAGCTGTTAGTTGCACACCAGTCTCACCGTCCGCATGAGAAAGAACGAGAGTGTGGAAAGCATCATTAACAGAACCGCTTTCACCGACGCTCACTGCACCCTTCAAAACTAAGGAGAAACGTCAGTCCTTGACAGAGCCAACACATTCGACCAACATACTATAGACGAATGCTGTCCAACCGGTAGCTGTCGACAGTGTCAACAAACTTCAAGCGTAGCATCAAAGAATACATACGAATGTCTTGGAACATGGTTGCGCCGTTCTTCATCAACACGTGGAAGTACCAGCACCCGCCAAGTGGTCGCACAGGTGACTCAACGCCATGGCTCTTCCCACTAATGACTTTGATGCTGATATTGCCATCTTTGCCTTCAGGATACGCTACTGGAATGCTGGAAAACCAAGCGTCAGAGAAAAAGAAAGAGTTTTCAAAGCACATAGACAATCGACATACTCCTCAGGGTCCAGTTCTTGATAGGTCGGTTCCTATTTCAAACGTGATGATAAAGATTAGACCCTCAACGCCCTACTAGACTTACCGTCATCTTAACCTGTAGCACGTTCGTCAGTTGTGTTATCACACAGCAACATAGGCATGCGACTAACGTTCTTTGGTAGGTCTACCCAAAGCTGCATTCCTCGGGGCTCGGGCACGCCCTTTCCATGCACGGGCATCTCCGCGTGAATGATCCCCTTTCCCTGCATGACGGGCCAGTTGAGATTGACGGCGCATACAAAAAAAGTGTTGTTCACTAACGGCAGACATCCATTGGACACCGCCGGTCTTGATGGTCCCTGTGAAGTTGTATGTGTCAACGCATATCAGGATAAATCGAGAGAGACAGGCATACCAGAATGTCCTGCGGAATCCTCATGGCGACTTGATCTTTACAAAACATCACATCACGCCCGCAGCACATACCAGAAGTAGAAATTACTTACCCTTCGAGCATATACGTTACGGTTGCCTGACCACGATGGGGGTGGTCGGGGAATCCCTGTATAAATAATTGTATGATCTGTATTGCGCCCACACAGGACAGGAAATCAACTTACGGCACCCTCGGACACATGGAAGTGATCCAGCAACAAGAAAGGCGTCAAATTGCGCAAGCTCGCGCTTCCGATGGACCGTCGTACGAGTGCTCCAGCACCCTATCGATTGGATATAAGCCGCTTCGGAGATTAACAATCGTTGAAATAGACACACCTCAGGTGTCTCAACAGCCAGCACCTTCTTCACAACATTCCTAGATATCATGTTCAAGGCCATTTCAGGTGACTCGAGTTTAAGAACCGGGATAAGAGACAGGAAGAATAAGCTGGTGAAGTTAACAATGGTGGGCAACGGTGGATTCTGAATCTCGGATAGAAGAGACGACGTGTGAGACGAATTTATATACCCGTCGCCTGCTTGCTTGGTAAAGTGAGCTCGATCAGCGACAGCGTTCAGCTTAGAAACAATTTCATTTCATTGGTGGTCTTCACCATTGCGGGGAGAATGTCCTCACCATGTCAGACAGCTGAGTCAGGTCTTGCTCTTACAGGGAACAAATTACCCACGCATATCCGTACCTCGCTTAGCATGGTTCAGAGTTCTCACAAGCTCACACACCTCGTCTATCACAGACTATATATGTTTGTTTCATCCTCACCATGGGTCACTTTTCAGTATTTTATTCACATCGTGCCAAGAAATGACGGTGATCACTAGAAGTGGGTCACCGGTAGAGACGTATCGTGGAACTGGAACTGTAGCCATCTAACGCTAATCTCGTGAACGAATCGGCCGCTCCAGAACAGAAATCACACCATTTGCGAGGTCGTGCCCGAATCTCACTGGCAGATACCTTCGAGAGCTTAGTACTAAGTGGGCTGCGGGTAAGCAATGATATGCAGTGTTGGAATCACTGGCTATCTCTGATCATGGCATGAAAACAGATAATTTTCAACGGTATCCGAGGAGATCTTGGAGTCTGCTGATTTTCCACGGTATAGGCTCATTGTTTTATTCTAACACCCACTCTATCTGATTGTACGAGCGGTCCGAGCTACCCCTGTTGGCATCGAGAGATAGACATTTTTTGTAGCTTCACGCTCAAAATTTATCGAGTCGAGACACGTGTGGAACTTCGCTTCCACTGATAACTTCCGTAAGATCCATGTTTTGTATGCGTGTGGCTCATCCACACTTCTTTAGAGACCGATGATATCTCGAACTCGGCGCCAAGCCAGGTCTTAGATATTCCCAAGCTCTCTCCGATTGATCGCCGTTTGATCGCTGACGGAAGATTGAGTTGTTCGGGAAGGTGTGGCCTTCTACTGTCCTTCCGGTTGTATCGCGCCATGAGTTCATATTTGTTAATGACTTATAACAATGGTTAAGTTCGAGCTGTACTCGTGGCCTTCTAGAATTCCGATGGAGCCCTGGAGCGTGCAGCTGCCACTTCAATATTGCGAAGTAGAACCACTGGACCGCGGCGATGGCCGATCAGACGAGCTTCGACTCACGATGTCCTCAAATTTCAAAGTTTGGAGCCTACAGCTGGAAGCACCGATTGTTTGGCGCAAAGCTCTGCTTGCTTGCTGTGATAATATCCTGTGATATGATGATCTGTCATCTGGAATTGTGCGGTATGTACATTCTCAAGAATATGGGAAGCAGTGTGTATTCGATATATAAATCAGGTGCTGATATCTTCAAGATCTGGTGATATCTGTATTGAAATCACGATATGGAGGCGGTGATTCGGTCAATTGTTTTAATGCCAAAAGAATTATTGTATTAGATTTGTCGTACGATCCAGTCAGCATCAAGCGAGAGCTCGAGTCGTAAGATGGCAGAAAGAAAGAATATTTCATTCTAACCATTTACGCATGAATGAATTTAAATTTTATATTCGGTCATGCAGCTCATTGCTTGTGGCACACACACGTCACGTGGCGACCGATGCACAAGCCACTTCAAGCTTAGATTCAACGGTCACCTAAGCACCTTGCTACCCAGGGTCTACAATGTTGGGTATTTTGTCTCCATACGAATGTCCCCGCTGATTTCTGAACGAATTTCAGTTGTCGGTCTCACAGGGGGCATCGCAACGGGCAAATCAACTGTGTCCACCCTCTTCAAGTCCCGGCAGATACCCGTCATCGACGCAGACGTCCTCGCACGGGAGGTAGTGCAACCAGGAGCAAAAGGGCTCACACAAATTGTCGCATACTTTGGCTCTGAAGTGCTGTTCCCAGATGGCACCCTCGACAGAAAGAAACTCGGTGCTATTATCTTCAATAACGAAGTGAAGCGGAAGAAATTGAATTCCATCATCCATCCTGCTGTTTCGCGCGCCATTCTCTGGAATGTGTTTTTGTGCTGGCTGAGAGGAGAGAAACTATGTGTTGTGGACGTCCCTCTTCTGATAGAAGGAGGGCTGTGGAAATGGATGGGGAAAGTGGTCGTGGTGTATTGGTATGTTTCTCTCTGATACCTTTGCGTCTCATCCACAGCTACGACCCATCGTAGTTCAGCAGACATTCAGCTGCAGAGGCTCATGACGCGCGACAATTCGTCTCGCGAAGATGCTTCAGCACGCCTTAATTCGCAGCTTCCTATAGCGCAGAAAGTAGAGTATGCCGATATCGTCCTTGATAATTCTGGCACCGTGCAGGATCTGGAACAGCAAGTTCGTTTGTGTCTTGTGAAGCTAGAACGGATAGCTGGGTGGTCGTGGAGGCTCAGTTGGCTTTTCCCTCCATTTGCTTTAGTTTCTATGCTATGGACATTGGGATGGAGGTCTGTGAAACGATCACGACGCCAGAGTCGGGGGCCATTCAAGGGAATTTAGATAACACGGTGCATATCAACCAAGTGCAGAGTCCGAAATGCGTATCATAAAACATCGATAGTGTATGCATATTGTACAACGCTGTTTCGTCTCACGTAGGAAGCCCGAGCAATCCACGCTTGTCGAAAATCTCATCCCTGAGCATGACAATTCGGCTATCAAGCCTCGACGACAGGTCCGTCTGCTTTGTGGACATTGCGTATGCTTGGTCTAATTTCTCGCTGGCGCCCGCGAGCACGCCTTCCCACATCGCCATGGCTTCCTCTGGCTTCATGTCTGCTCCCCTCACTTCTGCCTCCTTCAAATCGAGCACGGCGAGCTCGAAGGCGGAGACACCCCCAACCCATGAGCTGATTTCGACATCAGGGGCCCTCTTTAGCGCATCGAGGAGGAATGCGCGCGCAGCTGCATATTCTGCGAGAGTACGATGAACGATGCCGAGGAGAAGTGAGCGTATTGCAAGCTCGTCAACAGTATCGAGGTCATCGTTTTCAGTCTTTGGAACTGATGTCGCCAGATACTTGCTCTCGATATCAGTGATAGCTGGGGTCAGCGAGGACCACTCTTGGATATGCGCTATGGCGATGGAGCTCTCAATACGTGCGTGGGTATTCCAGACTATGTAAGATCAAGTCAATGTTTCTTGCTGAAGTCATCTTTTAAATACGCACAAATAGCAATTTCTGTTGCAAATGAAATAGTAAAAAAAACATACAAGAAACACGACGTGAAACGAACCTTCTGCGGGACTGATCCTTATAGCCTCTACAAATCGATTCTCATCTCCTCCGAGGCGAGCCTGTTTTCTCTTGTAGAAAGCCACTATTCCAATGTGAGGTTCATTGAACGTTAAAGGATTGGTTCAGAGGACGACGAACGCTTTTTCTTAATGAAGATTTCTGTTGGCATATCTCTACCTGAAAGCTTCCGTTTGTCGAGCTGGTCGGGAATTTTGTCCAAAAGCTTCTGAGCTCTATTGTGATCTTTCAATGAGAAGTAGCAGCCTAGTAAGGCAATGGTAAATAGTATGTTTAGAATAATGTAACTATTGGCGCACCAGCTGCAATGAAGTAGTATGTCGCGTGACTCCTGCGTGACTGATAGGTTAGTTCGAAGGTATGTGAAGAAGAAGAAAATAGGGAACCAGCTATTGAGTTTAGTAATGTCCAGGAACTGCTTTGCCGTTTCTTCATAGCGACGATGGGAAAGGAGCGTCCAGGCCAACTCAAATGTGAGCTGGAGATAGTAGAAACAGAGGTTAAAGACGGGAAAATCGCCATCACAATCATGATACATACCAATGTGTCAGCTTGAGGGAAGGATTTTTTCCTCTCAGGCTTCAAGCCATCCCTCAAGGTCTCAATCGCGCCTTCGGTGTCATATGTCATGCGCTGTATCTTTGCCTGACAAGGAATAAGAATGAGAGAATTTACGTTGAATAAAACAGACCTTATTCAGAATCCACAAGGAACCATCAGGGTATCGGCCATCTACTCTGATTTGCGACGCCTTAATTGAATGAACTGGAGGAGAAAAATACTGACCTTGAAACTATTGCCTTATACTGTTTGATAATGTGCGCCTCATCGGCCTGATACCCAGAAAGAAGAAGAACAACTCCGTGATAGGTCATAAGAACCAACCTTTAATTTGATCAATACAATGGGCATCAATAGCTACCAAGGGGACGTACCCAGCAAATACAGAATGAATATCACTCCTTGCGGCAGAAACAGCAAGAGCCTGTAGAGCTAGCATGCGATCGTGATTGAAGCCAAAAAAGCCGACAACATTCCTGAAGCGGCGTCAAGGGGATGTTACTCGCACAGTTAGCAACATACCTAATCTTTGCAGGTAGGAGAGAAAGCACTAGGTTAAATAACCCATATCCTGACAACCTTGAATTCAATATGACAACATAGAGGTGTGAGAAAAGGTACCAAACGCAGTTCCGGACAATACGAGTTCCTCGACGGGCCCGCTTGGCGGATTTGTGATTGTCCCTGGGGCGGCGACTGAAGCCGGCGGAGCGAACCACCTGCTAAAGAAGCCTGACTTAGACGCGGTAGTTGGCTTAGATTGTATTGCTGAAGAACGCAAACTTCTATCAGAGCCTCTACGCGATGGTAGAGGGGTTGTTGCGGGAGTTGCGTAGGACTGGAGACCATTTGGGTAAACAGTCTTGAAGAGTCTGATGATAGTCGATAAACATGTACGGTGCATGAATGGCTTATGACAACGCACTTGTTAAATTTGGAATGGGCACTATTCTGACATTAGTCATACATAGCACGTCTCGATTCCAAAACTCGCCTGTTAAGTTCATACCTGTAAAAGCATTGGCTGCAAGCAGGACACGTATATGAAATAGGACTCACACACACTGCAGGTAGCCCCGGTATGACTCGCTGTAACCGAATATAAGAAGCGAGCATGCGTTAATACGATCAAACATACCTCAGTGCATGAGTCAGGCCAAGTAGAACGACAGCATCGGCATGCATGACTTCCCACTCCATTCCAGCGTCGAATCGATGGATCGAGGGTAATGATTTTGCCGCCCGTGCTTGTTTCTTGGCGCCTGCTTCCGAAGCTGTAAGGCAGCGAGTAGCTTCGTCCATTAGACCCGTCTGCAAAAATCCGATCAGTCATGTCTAGAGATGATATACTAAGTAATCAACCAACCTCCATACCAAGGGCTGCCTGCAAAAATGCAACGACGCCAAGTCCTAATAAGTGGAAGGGAGCGTCCTCAGATTCAAACGCCTTCTGGGCTGCATCGATATCATTTGCAAACAGATGATCAAATCCTTGCGTCGCTGAGCGCAATAAATCCTCAGCTGACAGGGTGGACGCCATAGAAAGTAAATGGTGTGGTTTGAAGCCAAGGAGGTGACAACGACTCGGATGTCAATTGAAGTGCGGCACCGGCATCGGCAGGTCCGGCAAGTCAGAACGGCATCTGACAGTCGGAAGCCGGGCTCGTGTGGCAGATTACTCACTGGCCAACGGTATTAGCATCCTGTAGGCTTTGATTCAATATCACCATCAACTGCTCATACTGCATCGACGCAGTCTAAACGGATGACAGTGCGAACCATCACCACCAGCACCCTCAAGACATTGAAAAATTCAGTCATCGGCAATCCCGCCGCCAAACTAGCCCTTGCTCAGGATACAGCGCTCATTCATTTGTACGTGACACCACCTTATGCATGATGCAAGGCTCATGGTCATCTGGCTAGGCTTGTCAACTGCATCAAGCACCCTTCAACGTCCTATGTTGATACTCAAGGGTCTCATGATGACATTCGTATCGAATCCGCCCATGTGATTGCGTCTATTTCCTATGGTATGTGTCCATATGGTAGTCTCTTGTTCAAAGACCAACAGTTCATTCCAGGTTCAGAGGTCGCTCTAATTAGCTTGATTCACGCGAATGCTCTTCATGCGTTCCTCTTTGCGCTGTCAAATATGAAACCCCACGATCCTGTGCAACTAAAATCTGCATTAGCACGGGGTTTACGAGTGTTGTCCACGGCCATTACTGAAGTCGTTGGTCCATCTCAACTTGGTCTTCGAACATGGTGCCACGATTTGCGGAGTGAAGCCAAGGTCGCACTAAGCTATCTTTTCGAGGTAACTTGAATTCCTTTAGTCAAGGTGTGCTCATGTTAACAGGATCCAAGTTTGATTGCCTCAATATATTTCTCCCACTCCTGGCCGATCCTTCATCTCAAACAAACATTGCTATTGCACAGCTGATCAGTACAACTGTCCGCTCAGACGCTCATCGGAACGCCGTCATAGAATGGCTGCCTCCTGCTGAACGCTCCAAAGAGAGTAAGGGCAGACGCGGTTGGGAAAAAAAGGAAATGGTAAATTCCAGTTCACCAGCCAGACAAGGTGGATGGGTAGTCCGGCTTCTGGTCAATTTCCTTCAAAAGAAGGACATAAAGGTTATTCCATCATTTATCAGAAGCAAACGAATCTGATGCCTCAAAGTTACAAGAAGCCGCGCTTAGCGCAATATCATCTTTGGCAATGGAAAATACTGTGGTTGCAAGCACACTCACAAGGGCCTGGCCTGACACAGGTAAGCACGATTGTCAATATTTGATTAGGACCAAATGTGATGTTCTGGCATGAGTTGACCCCCCCTTGAGCATCGTTTTAAATTTGACGAAAAGTAGATCGACTGATGTGCAGCTTACTGCATCTCTGTGGTATGTGTTCAGTTTGATCAGACCCTTCATTCAATGTTGACCACCCTCAGCGCTGCTCACGTTCTTCGAGCCAATGCAAGTCACCATCCAGGATCGATAGATTATTCTGCTGCTCTGAATGTTATCCATGTTATCAACCGGGTGCTCTCTTCGTCGTCTGAAACTATACAGAACAAGATTAAAACATGCTACACTCTCTGTAGGAGAACATCACTCTTGTCTCAAGCAGTCATCTGATTTCGCATCAGATCATCTGGTGAAAGACGATAGAGATTTGTGCCGAGAGGTCTATGAACGCGGAACATTGGAAAAGGTGGTTTTATTGGCGAAGCACATCACTCCACTCGAAAGGACGTCGGAATGGGAAGAAGACGAGCCTGAGAGTATCCTTGCCCTCAGAGAAGTGAGTGCCATCTTTTCATCAGGATGTGCCTACCTATTTTTATATTACAGGCGACGTTGACTGTGATTGCGGCAATCTCGCTCTTTGATAATAACATTCGCCGGGAAGTTGCAGATGATCTCCAGATCGTCCCCACGATACAAGTCTCCTTGTCACACAAGAACATTGGTATCCGCCACGCAGCATGCACGTGCCTACGCGCACTTAGTCGTGCAGTTTCTATCATCCGCACAAATATCGTGGACAGCAAAATTGGAATGGAGCTCTTTGCGATATTTAAGAAGGAAGACGAGGATCCAAGAGTGACATATGCAGCTTTGAATACTATTTGCAACTTGGTGAACGATTTCTCACCGCTAAGGCCGGTGCGTCCGACATTTCTTTTAGAGACCTGTTTCCGAGCGGTTCTTTCCTCAGAAACTATTGGACCAAGGGCTCCTTCCGCGACTGATGCAACTACTTGCTTCTGACGACATAAATATGAGAGTTGGTGCTTTGTGGGCAATGAGGAATGCCCTCCGGAAAAGCGATCCCAGCACAAGACAGACGGTAATGACACATCTATGCTGGCCCCGGCTCGTCATGTTTGTTTCAACCTCTGTGCTGCTCATAGACCGTCTTAACGTGTGTTCCACAGGCTGTGTAACGATTCCAATACTGAAATTCAAGAACAAGCCATGAGTATTCTGCGCAACCTTGCAGAAGACGAAGAAGGGGTGGACTACGTATTTGAATCTATCGATAAGGAAACTCTCGCCAATTGTATTACTTCTGGCCTAGAATCCTCCAACGAGGATGTGACCCATCATGTAATTCTCAACTTGATTCCACTTGGCAATCTTCACTAACACAGCGGATAAACAGACTGCATGCTTTTTGGCGAACATCGCAAATGGCTCGCGAGAACAACAGGACTTCATCTTCGCGCACGCACACATCATCCACGCCATGCACGACTGCATGACCGATGCCAAGTCCGACACACGTTGTCCCCTGATCTCCTGCATCTTTTCCCTTATCCAGTCTAACATTCGTCGGAAGCACGAACTCAACGAAGCAGGGATTACCTCGACGCTGCGGCACATGTGTGACTGGACTGGGGGTGTCATAAGCATGAGCCCTGGGGGCCACCATCGCATACACGTCGATGACGACAAGGAGGCGGCGAAATTGGCGCGGTCGGTCTTGGATCTTTTAGAGCATAGTAATATTGGAGATCTACTGTAGCAGATGTATGATTTACAACGATGTAGCTTTTGGTATGTTATCTACATCTTCAGGTACTTGCCTGTTCCTACTCGTTCAAAATTACATGGTGTGGGTGAGTAATACAATATCCAACTATTTGAGGACGGTTCGTAGACGTGCGGACAAACTTGAGGCGCCAAGCCAGTCTTTGCGCAACCTATGATTCGCCCAGTCAGCAGGTGCATAGCTGCAGTGTATAGCACAGTAACCAACAGCATACTCGAGAACAATGTCTCAACTCGAATCAGACTGTCAACGGTTTCATGCCTCATGGTATAGTCTCGTGCTAGCGTCAGTGACACCTTGTGGGGTCAATTGATTATGTTTGTACGGAATACCATTCACGCTATAAAACCAACCTTCGATAGACATACCGTTTGCACAACAAGAATATTATAACAGAAGAGAAAAGACCGACCGTAATACACAGTAAAATACGTTCTGGCGATATAGAAACTCAAGGCAAAGAAGAAGTCCGCACCGCATGGCTTGATGGAAGAAATCGCAGCAAACATCGCGCTGTGCAATGTGACATGAGTATAAGGAGGTGATGAGTGCCAAAAATCTATGAGCGGAAAGAAGTAGATGGATGGGACGGACTGGTGAGTCTCCATCAAATAGCCCTCTTCCTTGGGTTGCCTGCGCTGTAACAACCGTCTGCCTCGATGTCATTGGATCAAGCATAACGCAAAGTATAGTCCTGACCACTAGAGGAAGTCCTCTGCTCGTGCCCTTTTCTTCCCTCTCGTCTCTTCAGGTGAAAGTGCAGAAGAGTCAATGCCAGATAGCGGCATATTTGTCGAGTCTCGAGCAACATAGTACTTTTTAGTGTGAGCCCGTTTCTCTTCCTACGATACGCCTCATTAGTTGTAGGGTGTGGGGGAAATTTTACATCAACTCACAGGGGAAAAGTTCGGGTTTGCATATTTGAGTTCTGTCGGTTTCTTGAAAGGCGCATACTTCTGTTCAAGGGCCGAATTGGGCAAGGTCAAAGGAGGTGGCGCTGCGGTTGCAGCGGGTGGTCCCATAGCAGCAGCCGATGGCGGCGGTGGAGCACCAGATCCAATTCCTGGTATAACTGGTGGGAACGGTGATGCTGAACCAGCGGGAACAAAAGAAGGTGGTGGAGGGAATGGTGGCCGAACACTTCCGGGAGGAAAAGGTGGCGCACCTGGGGGAAGCATACCCGGTGGAGGCATGAGACCAGGAGGAGGCATAGGGAAGCCAGGTGGTGGATGTCTATATAACAGATCAACACACAATTTAACGCAGAGAAAAACTCGATTTACCCTGGAAGGAAACCGGGCATGCCGGGAAAAGGCGGAAAAGGCGGTAAAGCGCCGGCAGGGGGTGGCCCTCCCGGAAAGAATGGAGGAGGCGCACCTGGTCCCATACCAGGAGGCATCCCTGGCGGTGGAAGGCCCGGAGCTGGAGTAGGAGGGGCAGCATATGCTTGTGGAGGAGCGCCGTATACCCCGCTGGCACTATTGTCAGCTGCAGGAAGAGCAGGAGGATTATCGCTGCTACCGCCCATCAAGGCTTTATGGGCCTCTAACTGAGCCTTGAGTTCGTCCTCCGATAAAGGCCTCTTTTCAATCTTAGGCCTCTTAGGCTGAGGCTGAGATATAGAACCTGCAGCTAAGCCAAGTTCGATTTCCTTGCGGCGCTTATAGTCTGCAACATCAGGTGCAGGAATGCCCTCCATTCCGAAAATCTCCACTTCATACCCATCACGTCCTGGCATAGCGTTCTCAATCCGTGGAAGGCTGAACAAAACAAAGTCAACAAAACGAACTAGATATGGATGGACTTTGAGGCACTTCTCTGGTTCTAGTTTATGAACTTGTTGAATATGCACGGCCAGACCGCCAGCAGTGTTCAATCGGCGAGGACACATGTTGCATTTGAAATGTTTGGCCTTTTGGTGTTGCATGAGAACTGAATGTCCGTGCATATGAGATTCCATCTTCCAGACGTATTAGAAAAAGTACCTTTCTCATCTTCGAACTCCCTTTCACAGTACCAGCACCATGGGCGGATGATCTAAAAGAGTCTTTAATCAGCATATATAGAAAGAAGCTGCATACCCACCTGTTTATTTTTTTTCTTTGCCATTTCGTCGACGTCGCCGTTGGATGATGGTGGAAAGTGAGGGAAACTTTTCGGCGACGCCCGCTGATGCAGATGGGTGTAACCGTGAGAAATTAATACTCAATGGAAGTATTCTCCCCTAAATAACCCACTGAGGACTCTATAACCCGTACCTTCCAAGTCTCCAAGATTTTTCTGTTAGCCAACGCAAATGATTGGCAAAAGTCTGCCTGAATATGTCTTTATAGTCACCAGCATAGGGATTCTTCGGCTGGTGGCACCAATTAGCTTTCTGTACGTTGCATATCTCGCCGTTGCTCACCCAGGTACCAGATGGCAGACGTCATTGGGAAGGTACGCTTTATTGGAGATATTCTTTTATACATTGGTCTACCTGCCTAGACGGTGGTTCTTACAGAAGGCATGTATTTATCTGTATCCCTGGCAAGCATGACGTCTTAAGCAGCTCCTCTAGCCTGCAATGCACCCCACAATTCACACTCGCGAATATCGGCGGATGCTATTTCAGCGGTGTTCGAGCTATCTGGCAACCTCAGATTATATCTCTGGATGGTTTTTTTCAGCGGAGTTTAAGAGGGAAAACGTTGTGGACTGGCTCCTCTGGGCTTTGTTCTCTGCAACAAGGGACACCTGTTTAGTGGAATGGGAGGAAGAAATAGAGGAATATATCTCGATGATAGAAGTTATTCTTGATAGAAAGTTGGTCCCTGGATATAACACTGGGGCTCGATGCATGCGACCCACGCTCGACAGCGTGTCGATGTTGCACCGGCCATTGATCTGGTATTTGGTAAGTAATCATCCGAGTGTGATGAACCTCAAAGACCTACGATTATTCAGGTTGTGGGTCTGGTGGATCTGTTTTCATCGTTCAAACTTTGGCGCCAGGGATTCCAACACTATGATGACGGCGACTGCGTGACGTCGTTTCCAATGCGACCATGTTGTCTCATCTCGCGAAGATCGCCGGTAGTCAAGTTGCCATACTGGTATCGTCCTCACCGATCAAGAACGAAACTGCCCGTCCTTTTTATACACGGCATTGGAGTGAGCTCTTGAGGTGTTCATGTGGATGATTCTAATGATTCTGCAGATTGGTTTATATCCATACACGCCTTTCTTCGAGGAGTTCATTGCTGTGCATCCAGATGTTGGAATTTTAGCAATTGAATTCCTTTCCATCAGCATGCACATCACCTCCTCTCCACTCTCAAGCTCGGCCACTTGCACCGCTATATCCCAGATTCTGGATGATCTCGGACTCGATCGTGTTGTTGTCTTGTCGCACTCTTATGGGACAGTCATCACTACACAGATGCTCCACTCCCATTTTTCCCCTCGCGTTGCAGCGATACTTTTTGTTGATCCGATACCATTTCTTCTCCATCTTCCCGATGTCGCCTTCAATTTCCTCTACCGACAACCTCGTTCTGCTAACGAGTTACAGCTTTGGTATTTCGCATCTAGGGACCCAGATATCTCGCGGACCTTGTCCCGGCACTTCTTTTGGTCTGAAAACGTACTATGGAAAGAAGATCTAGTGGGAAGACCCGTCGCTGTATGGCTGAGCGGAAAGGATCAAATCGTAAACTCGGAACAAGTTAGAAAATACTTGACAGAGGAACCGACTGCTTCGGAATACTGGGCTACGGATACACTAGAAATGCTCTTCGATCCTGACTTGGATCATGCTAGTGTTTTTGATACGAAAGACCGACGCAAGCGTCTATTGGACGTTCTGGATCGCTTCGTTGGCCGTCTAGATTACAGGAATTGACTCACTTCACGATCAGAAAGCAACCCGTCTGCTAGATCTCGATCTCAAACTCCGCATCTTCACGTGCTGATATTGCGTCAAGGCAATTATGTATTAGAAAAGCAAACTTTAAGAAAACGTGTTAAGAGGATAGGGACTGACTCGTGTATAAGATGTGTGAGTCAGGGAATATACAAGTACGTGATCTTGATGTAGTACCATTAGACGCTCCGATCTGCAGCTTTCTCCATTGATAATGATATCTTCTCCATACAGACCTGAATTTGATTCTGATACGATGAGGGTGAGATAAAATATTTAATAGGGACTCCGAGCTATCTGTCCGTTGCGATTCATAGTATGTCTGATGGTCTGGCTCGCATCCGCGCAACGCTAAATGTCCGTCCTCCATATTGCAGTGGAACTTGCGAAATTGCTGTCGAGCAATCTACACTCTTTTATAGTACAGCGACAAGCGGTGTACGGTATGCCATTCATTATTCGCCACTGGCTGCGAGCTAACAAAACTATTTAGAAAAATCAATCTGCTGTTCCCTACGCAGAACCAGCTTGAGTCTCTGCATGAAGCTTGTCAGCCTGCAGCATATAGTCATGGAGAAGGTTCCAAGAAACACAAGGCCGGCAGGTTAGACGCCACCGCATTCGCCACTCAATTTAGCTTGGAAAACACCGGATTAGTTGATGCTGTGGGCCAGTCGCTACTGGAGGGCATGGCCGTTGGGCGGGACATCAGATCAGAATTATATGAATTGAATATCTATGGTTAGCGAAAGTTCGTATATCGTACATATTGAAACTAATTTTCGTTATGTTTAGGTGCGAGCAATTATGTCGGACCACACAAGAGTGCTACGAACAGCGACAAGATATTCGGTTTCCTTGATATTGTATTCCCGACTCCGCATACCGGAGGGATATGCAGTCTACGCAACAACGAAAATGAGTGCCGTGTCGACTTTGCAACCATGCTGTCAGAAGCACAGATCCCTCTCGTTGGTTACGCAGCGTACTTCAAAGAGGTCGAACGTGAGATTGACCCAATCACATCCGGTCACCGCCTGACGTTGAGTTACAAACTCTACGTTGCGTCTGGCGGGGACAGTCCATCAGCTACTATGATCTGGGCACCCGGCCCTTTTGAACCGTCCTTGGAAACTGCCCTGGCCGAATTCGTGAATGATCCCAAGGTGTTGCCTAACGGTGGTTATCTCGGGTTCGGACTTCGCCATCAGTACCCGGTATCGTCAGAGATGAGAGTGGACACTCTTAGGTCATGCTTGAAGGGTTCGGATGCGATTATCACGCGCGTCCTGAATAAGCTCCATCTGTCATGGTCTCTTCGCGTTCTATACCGAGACAGTGTGTCTCATTCGGAACAGACATTCGTGCTTCATAAGTTCATATCAGATCTATCCCAGAAAGACCTCGTGCGGAGTCACTGGGGCGCTGGTGAAAAATTGGGTCTAGGAGCTGAATTCGTTCGGTTTGTTGATGAATTTGGGAATGACGACGAGAAGCGGGCTGTCGATTATTCCAAATATTCGGAAGATGTTGACATCATCCAAATGACAGAGGTGCCTTCCGTCACAAACGTGCATTCTCAATACCTTGCGTACGGGAACGAGGCAATGATGGGAAACCTGTATGGCGATATTTGCCTAGTTGCGGAGGTCCCTGCGAAGGTCCTGTATTAGTACGAACTTTGAATATGAAAAGGCGCGCTCAGAAAGCAGCTTTCTCGCCACCGCCAAATTGGGACTTTGGACCAATCACTGACTCACTAAATGACTCTGAAGCTTAAAGTGCGTGGGCCCCTTTAGGGCCTTACGTTGACGAAGGTTTGATCAAGGAATGAGTCAGGACATGTAGCGCGCTTCTTATTGCAAGAAAATTACGTCAAAATATTGACTCACCGTGTCTTCTATTCGTATCATAATATGTTAAATATTTTGGGTCTTTGAATGGAGAAATCACCATGGGGAAGTTGGACAACGTTCGAGCTTCCATGAAGCCCAGACCATCGTATTGTTGCGGAACGCTTCTTTCCACACCAGATAAATGCACCCTGTTTTACAGTACGGGCGCTGATGATCACGCGGGGTATGACTCGCACATCCGCGCGCTACATAAGATGAAAAATTGAAGTTATTTTTTTACAACAGAAAAATAAACTTACTGTCAGCAACATCTGAAGAGCTCCACCATTTAACGTGCCTCTGTCGTGCTCAGTCTCCGACAGCAAATAACTCTCGCTTTACTCCAGCACAGCTCGACGCAATCGAGATTGCCACCACATTCAACGCGGAGCATTGCCGTCTCACTGAGGCTATTCGAAGTGAATTACTTGAAGGCGGTAATAGCAAGCGACCATTACAACTCCTTGTCCAACACCTGAGAATTTATGGTTAGTTATTGTATTTTATTGTAATAGACATTGAAAATAGCATATATTACCAGATGCAGAGTGTCATGAAACATTTCCGCCAGTCTTCCCCTCAACTCAAGAGGGCTCAACCGGACACCCTAATCTATTAGATGTCTGTCTCCACGAGTACCAGCTTATCAAGAGTCATGAGGAGTCACGAACGTTTTCCCTCAGCCTCGACGAGTTCTGCGATATTTTTGGTTCGTGGCAAAGAATTTTCAAAAAACTGAAATACCTCATAATTCACTATTACAGGCCTTTCATCTGCAGTTGTCCATCGGATAGAGTCCACCAACCCATGCACAAACAAGGCGATCCCTAAAGGATTTGCAACTGTTTTAGTTGTATTCCCAACGGACATCGAAGGTGGAGCGTTACTCCTTCGCCAGGGACATCACGAGTGGACCATTGATTTCGCAGAACTGTTCGCAAGGACGACACAGACATCTGTGGTATTTCTTGCGTTCTACGACGACGTGCAGTTTGCGGTCAGAAAAATCAAGTCAGGGCATCGTGTGATACTTACATATCGCCTACACTTTCCAACCGATAATGACATTCCACTCGCCACCCTTGAGAGAAAGGGTGTTTACGACGTGAACTCGCTGACAACAGGCATCACCGAATTGCTTTTAGATCCAGGTGTTTTGCCTGAAGGCGGATACCTGGCATTTGGCCTTCACAATCAGTACATGCCTACGTCTAGGTCTGTGGTCGATATCGGCAGCCACCTGAAGGGCAAAGATGCAATGATCGCATGCGTTTTGAACTCCCTTTCCATCCCGTGGTCAGTCCGTATTCTGTATCAAAACGTTGGATGGACGGAATTCAGTTTCTTGGCGGATCATATAGTTGATCTTTCCAGCCACGACGAGGTCCACTCCTTGTCGGAAACATTGGGGAATCCTGAACTTGTTCGTTTCGTAGGGGCGCGCGGTGAGCTGGATAGAACAAGGACCAAGTCAGACGGAAATGTGATGGAAGGTAAAGATGTAACAGATATCATGTTGGTTAGCACAAGGCCTTCTGCATGGAGTTTTCACTCGCATTATGTTGCGGGTGGTCGAGAGGTGATGATGGGAAACCTATACGGAGACGTGTGCATCATAGCGGAAAGACTATCACTAGCCATGATATGAGGGAACCGAAGAATATTAATGGAGGGCTAGATAACTCGTGAGTGGTAGTCGATTGCATGGTGCAGTTTGGATATGAATCACACTTGCAGTTGAATGAGATGGACTAATCAAGCTTTGATGTACAGCAAGTTAAGCGTGGGTCAACCTAGAACTCTCTGAAAATTGTCCAGCGCTGCATATTTTTGAGAAATATATGACTTACAATCTACTAGCAAACTTTTTCCTACCAGTGAGCGTGCGTGATACCGCCAGCCTCTAGAGCTCCACGTTTGGTGCATATACAATGTACATCAGATGTAAATTGTGGATGTTGTCAATAGAGTCTAGGCCGGGACAGTCAATCCGAATCAATACAATGAGTCAAGTCGATGGGCAGATGATAGATCAGTCATGCCAAAACACGACAAAAATCACGGTCACATGACGAATATAACCCATACGCGTGACATGTTCAAACTTAAAGGTTGTGGCAGTCCCACCCGCGCCTTTTGGCAAATTTATATTTCGACTGAGTCTTGTAAAGTTTGTTGTTTTATCATACCACTACCCTCATCGCACACTTTGTGCAACATCATGAGCAGCTTTCTAGAACTGTACGAGCCTCTGGATATTATCGGCAATGGTTCATTCGGAATTATTCGTAAAGTCAGAAGGAAGTCGGATGGCCAGGTAAGTCTGCAGGTGTTACCCCTACTTCGCTAGGTCAGAATTGATATTTCGTGGTAGATTCTTGCAAGAAAGGAGCTCAACTTCGAGAGAATGAGTGACCGTGATAGAAAACAAATTGTTGCTGAAGTGTCAGTGTTCAAGTTCATTTCTGCTGCACCAACTCATCGCTGTTCAGTAATATCTTGAAAGATCTGCACCACGAGCATATTGTACGATATCACGACCGTCACGTTGACCGAGATGCAGGCATTCTGTACATCCTCATGGAGTACTGTGGCGGAGGGGATTTATCCACTGTCATAAAGCAGGCGCAAAAACACAACCGACCCGTACCAGAAGACACGATATGGAACTACTTCATGCAAATCTTGCTTGCACTTCATTATTGCCATCACCCTGGTAGCCATGGACGAATAGGTAGTGGCACGTCTGAAGGTGATGCCAAGCGTCCGCAGATTTTACACCGAGACCTCAAGCCAGATAATGGTATGTCGTTTAAAGATCATTTCTTACTTCACATCATCCTTTCATCCGCAGTCTTTCTAGACCAATCAAATATCGTGAAGCTTGGTGACTTTGGCTTGTCAAAAGCGCTGTCCCAAGCAAACTTTGCCAATACATACGTCGGGGTAAGCCATTTGACTGGGACTCTTTCATGACTTAATTCAGGAGACCAGACACCATATTACATGTCTCCTGAGCTGATGCAAGAACGAGCCTACGATTCCAAGTCTGATATCTGGTCTTTGGGCTGTCTCATATACGAGCTTTGCGCCCTGAAGCCGCCATTCCATGAAGCCAAGACTCATGCTGAGTTGAGCATATTTATACGGTCAGTTGTAGATTGCCTGACTCTCACACGGCAGAAAAAATTGAACTCCCGCTCGTGTAGGAACGGCCGAATACCTCCCTTGCCGAAAGGGTACAGCCAGGCGCTGTCAAGTGTCATCAAAGCAATGTTGAACCTTAACGTAAGTAATCATGTCATACGGGGTGCACATTACGGTCCTTGTCTGTTCTATTACTTATTTCTTTGCAGCCCGCGATGAGGCCTTCGGCAGCTCAGCTCCTCCAACACGAGCGCTTGGAGCTGGTTTTCAAGGTTTCAGAGACCGAAAAGATGTCAGTTTTTGTTGCAGGACTTACGGATCACTCTAAATGGCTTTTACAGGCTCACTACAGTGAAATCGCATAAAGTAGCAGTTGTTACGAAAGAGCGGGAAGTCGCTGCACGCGAGGCAACCCTTGCAGAACGGGAAGCACGGCTGACATCCATTGTATCTGAAAAAGATCACGAAATTGTCCGACTCCGCGAGCTCTTGGGACAGGCAGAGGCCCTCTCAGAACAACGGCTGCGTGATGTGCGAAAACGTATGGAGGAAGTGATGGCGCTACGTGAGGAAGAGCTTGAACAACATGTCCGCCAGCGTGATCAGGAGCTATTTGCGTGGTGGACAACAAGAGAGCAGGAGATACGAGCAGGGATGATGAAGGAACTAGAGGACAGGGTAAATTGGGTTCGAGGGAGGGAAGAAGAGCTCGAGGCAGAGCAGGGAAAACTGGACGAAGCAAGGCAAGATCTAGAAGTGAGGTTAAAAGCAGCGGAAGAGAAGGCTACGAACGAAGCTAAAGGTTCAGACTATATGTTTTTTCACACTTTCCAGTTGCTGATTGCGTCAACTGTAGGACCCAAAGACAAGATGCCCCTAGAAGAAGTGAAAAACCTTCTTGCACCTCTCACGCAGATAACTCAAGACTGCCGCTTGCGGTCTGCCCAACGGCGGTCGCAGGATGTTTCCTTCATGAACACGACCATGACGCTCGAAACGCCGATCAACCGTCCCGTCAAACCTGTGGTGCCCTTTTCAGCGATGAAAGGTGTCATCCTGACAGACACTGGCGAACCGTTAGCAACACCTACACCAGCTCAACTCGTCAATCTTTTCGTCAAATCACCAAAAGTGAATATCGAGTTTGCCAAAATATTTGATTTCGACGAGGGGGCTGAGAGCTCCGAAGCAGAAGACGGGGAGGGTTATACTGACTTGCCGCCTTCCCCATCGAAACGAGAACGAACAAGTCCCGAGATGACTGCCTCAGCCTCGTCATCAAGAGATCCGAATGTTGTCCCCCCCACACGTCTACGCAAGCCGTCCATTCGAGGATCTGTTCGACGCGCACCTCTCCGGAGAACTGCGACTCTACCGGCATCTGCCTCCGATCCTACAGGATTCGCATCATCACGACCCTCGAAGTCAACAACCTCGCGCACAGAGTCTACAAATGCTTGTACGACCACAAAGACAATGCCCCCCGTACCCCCAGAATATGACCTTTCTGACGAAGAAAATTTACCTAGTCCTTTCCTTAAGCGCACTGAACGTGAACGAGCGATAGCTCCTGGAAATTTTCGGACAACGAAACATTCAGGTGCTGGCAACCTCTTGCGCGTTGTGGCAGC